GGAGAAACGGGCGGCAGGGGGTCTGCCTGCGGTGGCCACGGGAGAAGGCAGGCAGTGGGCGGCGAATTTCCAGGCACCGTCCCTTTGACAATCTTGCTGAAGGAAGATGGTTTATTCAAGAGCCCCTTGAGGATACTGTATGTAGATTGCTGCCTCTCCATCGGTGCCAGCTCAGTCACAGCTGGGGCATCTCAGGGCACCAGACTGAACGCATGAGGCCCTTGGCCCTGAGGACCAGACCGGGGTTCCCACCCAGGAGAGAACATCGTGTCTTCCTCTGGAAGACCCACGCCCTCTGCTTTACTGGCTTGGAACACTCCTCAGCGCGTGACATCTGGAAAGCCCGGGGAGTCTGAGGGCTGATGGCGGCAGCACCCGAGGGAGTTAGAGGAACGCTGTGGAGAAGGAGCTGGGAGAGGTGGCGGGGCCAGCGGACACTGCCCAAGGTCAGGGCCTGGTGGCTCCTTCTCAGAGAGGTTGCTCAAAGAAATGCGGTTCTCCATGAGGAATGGGCGTCCCAGCGCCCTGGCACGGCAGCCCCAGCAGAGGGCCCGGTGGCGGGCCCGGTGCAGCCCCAGCAGACCGCCGGGGAGACAGGGGCACAGGCCTTGCTCTTCGGGCTGGGCTCTGGCCCCTGGAGAGGGCAGACGGCCATGCTCTCCTGCCGTCACCCGCTGGTCACCTCCTGGAAAGGTTTGGCTGGCGACCCTCCGTCCAGGGGCAGCTCCGTGTTCTCACTCCTCCGGGTAAAGGCGCTTCCCCAAGGCTCGGGGCTGGCCGGCTTCACTTCTTGGCCACTAACCATGGACTCTGGCCCTTGGGGAGGTATAAAGAAGGGGATGTTTCAGACAGAACCCCGGGGGTGAGTGGCACACGGGGGTGCCTCCTGGGCCGGGTGATCCCACAGAACTGGCTGACCTTGGCATACGTCCAGCACCCTCCCAGTGTGGACCTGCCCTCTCTGCCCATTTTCTCCCAACACAATCCCATTTGCCGTCCCCTGATTCGAGAAGCGAGTGTGGCCCAGGATCACGCTCGCTGGAAGATGCTGTTCAGGGAAAGGAGAATGAGGCAGAGGAGGGGACTGCCTGTGGGTCAGCCAGCGCCTCCCTCTCTGCTTGGGAATCCCTGCTGTGCCCACGGGGTCTCTGGTCCCTCTGGCCATGCTGTGTTCTCTTCATGCCGGCGTGCTGGCTGCCTGTGCCTCGTTAAGCACTCCGTCTCTGGTGGATTCGCCAGCCAGATGCCAATGCGAGAGGCACCCTCTGCCACCAGGCCTGCCCTGGGGGCGCTGACCCATCACCTCCTGGGTGGTCAGGACCCCTCGGGGTGCTGCTGGTTAGTTAGGAAGCGCACGCATGCCACACAGGTTTGCAATGCCAACTCCATGCATCACCGCATCGCAGCCAGGAGCTCTCAGGGAGGGTCCGGAATGCTGCCAGGAGCTGAGTGGTGAGTGGAATCTGAAGGTTTCAGGGAGTCAGAGGTCACCCAAGACAGCTTCGTCACGGGACACTCAGGACCCCTGGCCCCTGGAGTAAGCTGCCCTCTCCGGGTGGCGGAGAAAGGACTGGAAGCTGAGCCTCCCAGCTCGCTGGCCAGTGCCCACCTTTTTGGACTAACTTGACTCTCCTCATGTCCATGGCCCTTCCTTCTGCCGGGTGAAGGCAGAGCCCGGGAAGGGAGACCGGCGTGGGCCTGGCAGGGAGGAAGCACAGGGAGCTGAGCCGGGGCGTGGTGTGCGTGTGCGTGCGTGCGTGCGTGTGTGTGTGTGTGTGTGAGGGGGAGCTCCCTTTGGCTCACATGACTACAGAGGCACAAGTTGGTGAGAGCCACTGTCACCCTCGGGGCACTGGCTCAGTCTTTGTCAAGCCAGGTGCTTGCACGTCTCCAGGGAGAGTGCCGGGCACAGGGCATGGGCCAGGGAGGGAACCAGAGGAGGCAGCCACTCTCAGGGCCAGGCCACAGAGCACATCGCCCCGGGCAGTATTTTGGCCTTTGGGGCATGGCTTTCTCCCTGGCTGGCAGGTCCAACAGGAGGGGATGCACGTCCCCAGAAGGGCTGGAGTGTCTTCACCTCTGTGAGCCCGCTCTGCCCTGCACCCCTGAGCGGCCCTTCCCTGATCCTTCCCTCTGTCTGCAGCTGTGCTTCCTCCCAGCACCTGGTGGTCCCTTGTCCACTGGGCTGTTGATGTGCGTTCGATCCCCAGCTACTCACCTATTTGGGGTTTCCTGCCACTTCCTCTGTACTTACTTTCCTTGACTCTGAATATCAACTTTTCTTTTACACACATTTCTATTTTATTAACTATACTAGAGGCCCGGCGCATGAAATTTGTGCAGCTTGGCCTGCACCTTCCTGCAATCCAGGAACCCTCAGGACATCACTCTTGCAATTCTGGACCACTGGCTTCTAACCGCTTGCCTGTCTGATTGCCCCTAACCACTCTGCATGCCTGCCTGATCATCCCTAACCACCTCTGCCTCGGCCCCTGCCCACTGTGTTAGCTGCCTCTGCCTTGCCTCTGCCGCTGAGACTTCATCCAAAAGGTCATCTGGAAGGACATCTGGAATGATGTCCAGAAGGTTGTCCGGCTGTTCATCTAATTAGCATATTACGATTTTATTATTATAGACTATTGCAATACCACTTCAAACCCTCATGGTATTAGCTGGGGGTGGGGGTAATAAGCAAATGAACAACGGTGGGACTGAAGCACAGTCAGAGGCTTCTGTTGGCCTGAAGGGGATTCAGCTAACACAGAATCCCAGTATCCGAAGCTTCCCAGTGAATGCTGGGATCATCAGTGGGTTCTCATTGCTCTGAGCAGGACTGAAAGAGAATGAGGCAGAGGGTCTAGAACAGCCAGATCCTCGAGATCTCAGACGGGGCAAGGAGGCAGAGAAAGCGGTGAGGAGGGCATATCGAGGCGAAGAGCTCAGCTCATGGAGCTCAGGCCGAGGCAGGGCCTCAGGGGGCTGCTCCCTCCATAAAATAGAAAATACATTATATTTTATGACTGCTCTGATTGGAAGGGGAGTCAAACCCTGCCTGGGCTCGTGATTACATATTAATTTTTTCTTCTTAAAAGAAATGAAAGCCCTAACTGGTTTGGCTCAGTGGATAGAGCGTCAGCCTGCGGACTGAGAGGTCCTGGGTTCGATTCCGGTCAGGGGCATGTACCTTGGTTATGGGCACATCCCCAGTAGGGGGTGTGCAAGAGGCAGCTGATCAATGTTTCTCTCATTGATATTTCTAGTTCTCTAACCCTCTTCCTTCCTCTCTGTAAAAAAAAAAAAAAAAAAAAAAAAAAAAAAAAATCAATAAAATATATTTTTAAAAAAGAAATGAAAACGAAAATATTTTCTCAGCCCCTGAAAGTACTTGGCTGTGCCGAGTGGCTGGCTGGCCCGCCGGGGCCATCGGATCTGGTCAGCGTTACCCGGAAAGCGCTGCCCCCAGCACTCGCCCTCGGTAGGAAAGCACCTGTGCCAGCTGGAGGCTTGGGCCTGGCCCCGCCCTCATGCTCTGTCACATGGGGAGGGGCAGATGACTCCATTGAGTGGCCATAAAGGTCAGCTCTAGTTCAAGGGCTACTCCACTTCTCAAATGAGGAGGCCAAGACTCAGAGGAGGAAGCTGTCTATATCTGAGTGGACATGTAGAGCCGGAATGCTGGCACAGTCCCCGGCTTTGGGCAGCTTTGACGCAGGAGTTGGTGAGTGACGTCTCACCAGCAGGGTCTCAGATGTGAAGCCCACCGATGCAGCAATCCTGCGGCTGCGTGTGGACAGGTGTGAGTGTAAGTGTGCCTGTGCACTTTCTACAAAGGCAAGTGGAAATGGAAGCAAAATGAGAGGGTGTTTAAAAGACTCAAGTATAGTTTGTTATTGCCAAGATCTTCAGAAGCACCAGTTTACATTGTAAGGCATCTGACAACAAACTCGTGTACTGCACCAGTTAATTCTTTTGTCTCTAAGGCAGGTTTCCTGAGACATCTACTGGGCAAGGTGCTATGAAGAGGCAGCAGTCAAACTCTATTTCTGAAAAGACAAAAGCAACTTCAGTTGGACCCACCTTGGCCCAGATTCGTGACCGTTTTCTGCCTGCTCTTTGTTGGAGTGAAATGGCAGCCGAGGCACACCTTCCAACTGCTAGCTGTGGGTGGACCTTGCAGATCTGTATCAACTCATGGCTACCGCCAGCAATGGCTGATACTAGGGCCCAGCGCAAAGGAAGAAAAACAGAACACTACGAACAAACAAAAGTAGCAAAGAGCCCTTGATAAGTAAACCTGGGGGGTGCGGGGGAGAGAGGGGGTGCATTCATCACAACTGAACCCTAAGTGCTCAGATGACACCGTCACGAATGGGGAACATGTTACAGAAGACATCACTGAACAGAGTCCCCTCCCTCCTGTCAGACTTGACATCTCAAAACATGACACTTCCGAGAGTGTCCCTGCTTCTGGGACCTTCTGCTTTCACAAGAAATAAGGTCTTTAGTCTAATGACTAATCAGGTTCATGAACTGCTATGTTTCTTTGTTCTATTTTTTTTTTTTTTAATAACGAAAATCTGTATGAGATTAAAAGAGACGTAGACACACCTGGTTTGGCAAACACCACGGACCTTCATGTTTTTGTGGGTTCACACATGGGCGAGCCAGCACCTTCGTGCTGGCTGGCTCCCTTTGGCATCAGAACACCATAATTTATTACGTTTCCATACTTAATAAGTGTGCACAAACATCATGCAAACATGGGACCATCTCAGAAACAGGAAGTGTATTAGAGTCACAAACGTATACAAAACATCTTGTAAACAAAAAGAGGAGAGGATGGTCTTTTTTTGTACAAAATATGCAGGTTTTTACTTTTTTTTCCTTAATAATCTGTAAAAGATGCATCATACTTCGGGCACTTTCCAAAAGTAAAAACTGTATAAAAATAAATATTCTATGTACAAACACACACACAGGCCAAATCCAGGTTAGAGGCATCACTGCAAAACAAAAACAAACACAAAACAGCGTACAGTTAGTGCTAGGGGGCTTCTGGGTGTCTATCCCGCTTGTGTGAAAGGAGGGTGAGCTTGTCCTGGGTGGGATGGGCGTTCTGGATGGGCAACTGGGGTTGGAAAACCCTGGTTCTGACAGTCTACCCCCTGAGGGTGGGAAACCGCTTTCACCTTCCAGTCCCTCCCCTTCCTGGCCACTAGAGGGCATTTTCTGTCTATGCTGCCTCTGGAGGCTGGGCAGTTGAATTCCTGACCATTCCAGACTGAAGTTAGGATAGGAACCAACAGCCAGGAGGCTCTCTAGCTGCTCTTCCAAGACACGGTAGCTCTAGAGCAGTGGTTCTCAACCTTTCTAATGTCGCATTGTTCTGGTGACCCCCAACCATAAAATTATTTTTGTTGTTACTTCATAACTATAATTTTGCTCCTGTTATAAATCGTAATGTAAATATCTGTGTTTTCCGATGGTCTTAGGCAATGCTGCTAGCGGTTCTCAACCTGTGGGTCAGGTGGAGCATTAGGAAGGTTGAGAACCACTGCTCTAGAGAGTGGCTGTTCATGCCCTGCAAAGTGCAACCATCTCTAGTCCCCAACCATCAGCACCAACCTTGAAGGACAAAATCCTACTCTGAGGGGGCAAGGGATCTCATTCAACACACCTCTAACCTGCTTCTGTGTAACTAGGTCTAGGGCAGTGGTTGGCAAACTCATTAGTCGACAGAGCCAAATATCAACAGTACGACCATTGAAATTTCTTTTGAGAGCCACATTTCTTAAACTTAAACTTCTTTTAACGCCATTTCTTCAAAATAGACCGCCTACGGTGTGGTATTTTGTGGAAGAGCCACACTCAAGGGGCCAAAGAGCTGCATGTGGCTCTCGAGCCGCAGTTTGCCGACCATGGGTCTGGGGGAACTTGCCAGATGATGAAGCACAGCTGGAGAGAGAGATTCTTGGGGAGGCATCGGCCTGGGGTGCTGAACTTTCTCTCCCCGGTGAGGGTGTTTAGGTACCTGGGTGAGTAGATGCTTCACCATGGGCCTGGGATCTTGGTTTCACTACTTTTACTCAATCCCACGAACGAATGAGATTTGGGCATTCAGCAAAGAGGAGCATATTATGCTCATTGTCCTATGACCCTGCTGCCATGGGGACAGGACCGGGCTAGCTAAGCACACACTCTGGGACAGGCTGGGGGTTCCAGCCCTGTGACGAGGAAGAGTCTTTGATGGGGGGCAAGGTTTAGGCCGGCTGTGGGGGGACAGGATGGCAGTGTCATCTTTGCCGGGGACCGCGCTAGGTGTCTGGATTAGTACACCGATGGCCCGGGTCCAGCTGGGGAGCTCTGTGTGGCGGGGGCTGTGGCTGAGTGAGATGGTTGTGTGCCAGGGCACAGCCCTTTGAGGTCAGATGGCTTTGATGACAGCTCCGTGTTAGGAATCCTGGGCCGCAGGTCTCATGTGTGGAAGCGTGAAGCTCTGACACATACATGCAAGGGAAGGGCCGAGCGGTGAGCCGGCCAGGTTGCCCGTGGAGGGATAGAAGCCATGTGGTTTTATAGTTTAAGACATTCAGATTTCTCACATCTGGATAAATGTCATCGTGTGGCTCAAATGACCTCAGATGAACACTAGGAGGATAGCTAATGACAACTAATTTTAAAACAAGGCCTAGAGCTCCTTGGAGAAAAGGTACTGTGTACACTAACCACACAAAGCACACCGATGTCGTCTGCGTGGCTGCATGGGAATTCCATACGCGGGGTTTGCTGGTGCCGTAAGAAGCGTGTTTGAATGTTCTCCAAGTGTGCGCAGTGCGTGGGATGTCTAATGGGCACCCTGCCTTTGGGACCGGCCCTTTTCTGACCCACGTCTACTGCCTCTCCTGCAGAAAGGGCCCGGATGGAAATGGTGCGTGCCTATCACGCTGTGGAGACAGCGCCCCGAGGACACCTGTGCCCGAGGCCCAGCGAGCCGCTGGGAAGACTCACCTTGTTCCAGCAGCCCTGGACTGGTAAGCCATCTTCGCCCTGCGGTGAGGAAGGAAGCACACGGCTCAGACTCTCCGGACGGCCCATCGAGCAGGCAGGACGGGGCCACAGGACCACACACTGTTGTAGCTGCCCAGGGTCCTGGCCCCTGCCTGCTTTTGTCTATTTCTTTTCTATTCCTATTTCCTCCCGGCCAGGGCCTTGGAGGAGGCAGAAAGCAAGTCCATCTGTGTTCCCACGGGCTCAGGTCACATGAAGTTACAGTGCGAGCCCAAGAGGGGCTGTTCTAGCCAGAGGGTCGGTGAGCAGAGGCGACCTGAGAGCCATGGGAAGAACCTCCTGCTCTCGGCTCTGGCTGCACGGAGAGCTGCATGCTCAGGGCTGGGTCCCTCAGCACCGGCCAGCCTGCTTCCTCCTCCGTGAAGCCTGGGGAAGGCAGGGCTGCAGGACATGACTGCCAAGGCTCCCCTGCCCCAGCCACCCTTCCTCCCATTCTCTTATTCTTTTCTCTTTCTCAGCAGTGACAGGAAGAGATGTAGGTAGTTCCCATCTGATAATAAGGAGCAGGGGCACAAAGGGGCACGGCTCTGAGGGGCCTTCCGTGCAGTGAAGAAGATGCAGTGGCTGGATGGGGAGGACTGTGCACTGTTGTCCACTTTACTGGAGGCACCCCCGGGGCACCGGCAGCCTTGGGGTGTCCCATCTCTGGGGCCCTGCGCCTCTCCGGCCACCCCGGGGGAATCTAGGGACCTCTGAGAGACAAGGTGGGAGTGGAGGCTGGACCAGGGCAAAGATCGGGTTCTCAGTCCTCGTGTACTAAAAGTGAAGCCCAGATGCTAGAATTCCAGGCTCCAGGGCAGAGGAAGAGATGGACACCGAGATTCAGAGGCCTAGAGCCAGGGGTCAGCCCCAGGGAGATTGTGTGAGAGCCCCCTGGGCCCCAGACCCATTTCATCCACCCATCTCACCTTCCGTTCAGCAGGTGGCCAGCTGGCATGGAGGCCTAAAGTCTAGTTATCTTGTACTAAAACCCATGACCAATAGCACACCCCCTGCCCCCAAAACCATAATAACACCGTGCAGGGGACAGCAACGAGAAGTGGAAGGGAGTTAGGTGCACTTCCACAGCAAGATTAATACACATGACACCTCAACATGGGATGTTATTGGAGAATATGCTAGTTTGCATTAAGGGTCAAATAAACACGACCTTCATTCTGTCCCCTCTGGGTGTGGGAGGGTCTGCAGGGGGAGGTGGTGCATTCCAGGGTTCATGACGACCTCATGCCCCTTCCCCAGCCCGCCACAGAGTGCTGCTGCATACGGACTCTGGAAGGGAGAGGAGCCTCCACTGGCCACAGTGGCATCCCATCGGCACATGGATGGTGGCGGGGGTGGGGGACAGAGGGTGAGGCAGGTGAGGAGAAGGGGAAGTGTGAGGGGAGCAGGGAGGTCAGGCTGTGGCTGGCGGAACTCCAGGAGCTCAGATGTGGGAGGATGTGGTAGAGACCTGGCTGATCAGAGGGACAGACATTCCACAGCTGAGAAAAGTGCCCATGCATGCCGCATGCTCGGGTTCAACAGGCCAGGCCAGCGGGAAGTGAGGGCCAAGCAAGGGTTTGAGAAGAGGGGACAGGTGGCATGCTGCTGTGTGTGCTTGTACTGTTCACCTTTGTTGGTGGCCTTAAAAGCTCCTTGAAGGGGCGCTATGGTCCTCTCTCAGGTCACACATCATATTTTAAAAATAATTTTCTTCTGCTGCTCCAAGATAATTCCTGTGTGACCCCAGGCGGAGTGTGGGCCTCCTACCTCGGCAGGGGGGTGGGGTGTGAGCGGAGGAGAACCGGAAGCTTTGATTGATCTGTTTCCTTGGCAGGAAGCGGGAAAGATGCTATGGCTCTCTAGGTCCCGCCTAGGGAGGGACTGGGCCTGCTGGGAGCAGAACTGCTGCCCTAGTCTGGGACATGCCCCACCCCTACACCTCTTCTCTTCCTTAACTACATTCTCAACCTTTTCTTGCTCTTCCAGACGGTTCACTGATGAACCAGCTCAGATGAAAGAAAGGGAAACCCAGGGAGGGTCTTTGGGGACTTAAGCAAAAAGGACAAACCCTTTAGGGTCTAAAATCCTGACCTTTGACCCCCTCCCCACTCCATGGCAGTCATCAGGGCAGCCGATACAATGGCCAGGACACCTCCTTCTCAGGGTGCCCCGTGTTTATAAGTGTGTCTCCCCCTACCCCGCCAAATCGTGAGATGCTGGCACAGGGAGGCTGTGGACGGACTCGGTCCTCTGTCTCACACGTTGTGCCAGGCGCTCAGCCATGCCTGTTGAACTAACGGAGGGGTGCAAAGGAAGAGAAGTCCCCTTTCCTACGAGAGCCTGCCCCGAGAACCCACTGTCCTGGTGTTCTCTCTGGGAGCAGATTTGTCTAGAAGCAGTTGTGGGAGGAGGATCAGGCACAGCCCACGCTGGCTTGGTGGGCAGGGATGGTCCACACTAAGGACACGTGCTGATGAGGCAGCTGCAGGACGAGGCCAAGAAAGCATCCAGGCAAGCTTTGCATGCAAGAGCGGGTGCAGCCGAGGCGGTGACCCTTGGTGTCTACAGAGAGGAGAGGCGGGCAGTGGAGACTGGATGCATGAAGGGTGGTGGGGAGGAACGCAGGCATGAACCACACACGTGGGGAAGCCCAAAGTGGCCATGCAGGTAAGGAAGGGTGATGCCATACCAATGGGCACGGGGCATCCAGTCCGTCCAGCCCTGGTAACCCCGGCTCCCCTTTCTCTCCTTTAAAACCTCGGTGTCCCTGTTCACAAAACCAACCACGATGATTATTCAGCTCTGACAGTGGAGCCGAGAGGCCCCATCCTACCCGGCCCGGGATGCAGGACCTCCACAGCTGATGTGCGTCTCCTACTTGCAACCTTCACTCTCCCTTTGGCCTCCAGGAGAGTTTAGCTTTGGAGCATGGCCAGCAGCCCCCTCTCCCTTGACCGTGGACGCAGATGAATTTCCCTGTCCACGTGTCAGAGGTTTTGGAACCTTCAAACGGGCTGCAAAGACACCCGAGAGGCCGGCCGATAAGCCATGAGGCATTTCTTACTGGCCCGTTGGAAAGGCTTCCTGGGGGAGCTTACTTCCTGATGCTGATCTGCAGCTTTTAGCTGGGTAGCTGGTGGGCGCTGGGAGTCTGCGTATTAAAAGCCACTTTTCTGGCCTTGTTTTGCCGAGTGGGGGCACAGGGTGCCCCCAGGAGACGCCAACCTGGGGGTCCTGCATCCTGATCGGGTGAGGATTCCACCAGCATGAACCGCTGGCTGCGCAGGTGGCCACGAAACGAAGAAGGCAAACGCCTGGCTCACACATGCTACGCTGGCTGCCACAGCCATCCTGGAGCTAAGCTCTGAGGCCTTTCCCCAAACCCCTCTCCTCGGGTCTCTCCACATCCACACATCAATCATTCTGCAGCTTCAAAGGAGAGGGATTTAGCCGGAATGACTTGCAGCTGTGGCTTTAAGGCCACGCCGACGGCAGGCAAGCATTCCACGGGCCACAGGCACAGGGAGGTTTGGTAGCATCAGAGCAGGCATTCGGCTCTCATCGGAGCGTGTTTGCCTTCTTCGTCTCCTGCTTGCACACCTCAAGGGAGAAACCAGAACAAGGCAAGTGATGAACGAAGACGAAGACATACCAACGGGCAGGGGGCATCTAATCCAGGCGCTCCTTGGTCTCCCTTATCCCCTTTAGGCCCTCTAGAGCCTTTCTTCCCCCTCTCCCCCTGCAAATAATGGTTTAGTCCGAGAGAAAACAACAACATCAAAACGTTAGGATCATTCATGTGTTAAGGTTAGAGATAGACATAGAAAAAAATAAAGAGGGGAAAATAGCTGCTCTCAATCAGAATGGTCTTCCCAATAGGAGTTGGGGTCAGCACTCACTGCCACCCCTCTAAGGACCAGGTGGGGGGGGGGCAGGAGACGTGAGGGAGCCCTGGGAGCAGGAGGGCTCGGAGGTGGAGTTGGAGGTGGAGGTGGGGGTGGGGGAAAACGCAGATGGAAGATACTGGTGGGAAGCTTTGCTAATTCTGAGCCCAGAGTGTAAACAGGGGGACTCACTTCCTTCTACTTGAGGGTCCATTTTTGAAAGATTTTGGCTTGACCACTTTTGCCCCAGTTGGTTTTCATCCCTTTGATATTCTATTAGGAAGCAAGGTAATTTTTATTTAGAGCTCTGGTGTCGTGTGTGTGTGTGTGTGTGTGTGAACACAGCATGTATGAATGTGTACATGTACATGTTTGTGCACATGTGTGCATGCATGAGCCTGTGCTCATATGTACAGGTGTGTCCAGGGCTCATGGGTGGCCCGTGGTTCTCAGCTGGGTCCTTCCATTCTGTGTCTCTTGTCCATCCTGGTCTGCAGCCATAGGCAGCTATATGTGATACACAGACAAGTCGGTTCAAGGAATTCCCTTGCATCTGAAAAGCTCCAGTGAGCATTGTCTTTCTCAGGTGAACCCCATTTTGCATGTGCCACAGTGACTCTCTGTTTAAAGAAGAGCCGTGGGGATTCTTTGCAATGAATTAGAGTTTGGATTTTTGCAGGTTGGAGGGCCAGGTGTGCCTCCGGGACCCTTCCTGGGAACGCCTGTCCCCTGCGATGGTCTAAGGCTTCCACAGTGTGGCTCAGGGCCCCAGGCCTCAAAGGAGGGCAGCACATTGGTCAGAGCAAAAGCTCACCGCCAACGCAGGCTCTGCCTGTGATCAGCTGTGTGACCATGGGAAGTTACCTAACCTCTCTGAGCCTCAGTTGCTTCACGGTAAAGTGTGGATAATAACACCTGCCTCGAAACTGTACTGGAGACCCTTTTGTATGTGAAGTGCTTAACACTGGCACATGGTACATGCTTAGTGAATGGTAGTTGCTTTGTCTGATGACAACGACAATTACTGTTTCTTGTTGGCTAGTATAAGGCATGGCTTCATGTGTCTACTGTGCTCCTGTAGTGGAAGGGTAGGGGTTTGTTGGAGGGAGCCAGAGGATAAGAATGTTTTTGATGTTTTCCAGGATCTTTGGAAATTCCTTAAATCTCTTGATTCTCGAGGTTTCCCTGTGATTGCCAGTGCGTTGTTCTGAGTGAGTTTTCTAAAATGCAAATGTTTGCCGAAGCTGGTTTGGCTCAGTGATAGAGCGTCGGTCTGTGGACTGAAAGGTCCCAGGTTCGATTACGGTCAAGGGCATGTACATTGGTTGCGGGCACGTCCCCGGTAGGGGGTGTGCAAGAGGCAGCTGGTCGAAGTTTCTCTTTCATCGACGTTTCTAGCTCTCTAGCTCTCTCCCTTCCTCTCTGTAAAAAAAATCAATAAAATATATTAAAAAAAATAAAAATAAAATGCAAATGTTTACTTAGAAAATGATACGGGTTTACGAGGGCACGTGTGCTGCCTACCAGGCAGAATCGCATTGGCTCTGAGTCGCTCCCAATGAGAACATCGTGGCGTGAACAGCCCCCATACAGTGGCCAAGCAAACCCCTGCTGTGGGAGGAAGCCCACGTGAGCTTCCTCAGGATGAGACTCCCTTGCCCCTTGGGTGGTTTCCCAGAGCCGAGGCTCCGGGTCCCAGGTGACCCGCCTGTGGTGATGGGGGCTGTGCTGGTCCTGCCGTGTAGGATGGGTGACTTGCATTAGGGGCATCCTGTTCTAAGGGCACAAGGGATGCCCTTTGGAGACACTAGAGCAGTAGCTTTGCCTACACCCTCCTGCTCCCAGCGAGGCCGCGGCAGAGAGAGGGTTCCAGCTGGAACGGGGAAGGCAGATAAAGCCAGCTGCAGAGGGTCCCTCACACAAAATAAATGCAGATGTAATCACTGATTTTAGAGGAAAGAAATTGAAGCTGGGGGAGTGAAAGGAGCAGGGTACGGGAGATGGGGTTGTTATAATGTAGTGCGCAATATAGGAAATACATATTGAGGAGGTAAAGGAAGAGGCAGGCCCAGGCCAAAGAGAGAGTAAGGAGGCAAGGGGGCTTGGGAAAGCAAGACACTCACATGTGCACACACACACTCACACTCGTAAACACAGGTAGACATGTGCACACGTGCACACACACAAGGCACACACATGTGCAGTGCATGCACATATATCCCAGATGGTGCATCTCGGAGAGTGACAGTAGCCCCACTACATGCGCGCAGACTTTTCAGTTGGCTGTGGCTTACAGGCAGTTCTACCTTCATACCCAATTGTCCTGGTGCCCAATTTGCTAAATTCACAGCCCCTTTTATCCTTGACGGACTTTTTCATCCTCAAAGTGGCTCCTAGGCCAAATTCACAAGGCTGTGAAGGGACAGACGGTGTCCTTAGTGACAAGGACAGAACGTTCTTTGCACTGGTAGTTGTGTCCCCTCAGAAAACTGCCCGTTAGGGGTTCTGAGCCTTGCCCACACTACGAAGACCTCCCTCCCTCCATGGATGGGAAGAGACTCAGGACCGCCAAAAGCGCTTTAAGATTGCATCTCAGGCCACCGTCTGGTAGAATGCAGGGGCCGTCTGATGGAACATTGGGACTCCCCGATGGGCCCTAGCATGTGGGGTAGAGTTTGGGAGGATCCCTACAGGCAGACACCCTCCACACCTGGTGGGGCAAGGGCCTTAGAGCATCTCCAGCAACAATGAGACTTCTAACCAGACTGTCATCTAAGCCCTTCCTGCCTCTTACCTGGACCAAAGTGTTAATCCTGAGCTTCCGGGCATCAGAATAAAAGCTGTCCCCAGCCGCTGTGCAGATTCTACCCGGACCTTTCTTTGTTTTGGAGGCTTTGTGTCCAAGCCCTCACACTTCCCCTCAATGGCCTCAGAGGGGGGTGGCACAGGGAGGTCTGAATGAGGTGAGGTGTAAGGGGACCTTTCCAGGACATTCTGGCATCCTGGCAGTCACATCTCTTGCAGGGAGAGAATAAGCTGCTCCTTGATTCGCTAACGGGCTCTGGGGAATACCAGTAAGCCAACGGGCTCTTTGCCACTCAGAAGAAGGCTCCAGCAATGTGACCGCTCTCTGGACTTGACTAACTGACATTTGCTAATTTATATCCGGGACAGGGAGAGCGTGTAGAATCTTAGCAAGGGGAGGTGGAATAAGAAATATTTCCCCACTAATTCCTGGGGCCTTATTGCCTCATCCAGTGGCCTAGGTTCTTATACATCAGCGCCTCCAGCCTCCACCTCCCCTCCATCTGTGACAAGGGCGTCTGCCTGCCCCGCCCCGCCCTGCCCCCACCTCTGGAACCACACAGTCGCCACGTGGGCTGGTGTCGCAGCCCTCAAATAGCTCAGTGCCTCAAGCCAACTGAAGACGTCTTAAGAAATAGATTTAAAAGGTTTTAATTGACTATAATAACGAAAACCAGAACATGTTAGAAATAAATTAGAAAGGAGGTTAGTATGCCAACGAGGAGGTGGAATGACCAATTTTTTTAGTGGCCTAAATTCTTGGGTGCCACAGCAATGAAGGTGGGCCTCCCAGCCTGCGTTAGCAGGCCAGCACATTTCCGGGCGAAGGTCTGTCTATTCCTGGGCCAAATAGAGACTCGGTCTTCCCACGGACAGTTTGTACGGGCAGCTCTTCCTGCTCCCCCGTGTTTATAAAACATATGGGACAAATCGAGCTGCTTTTGGCCAGCTGCCAGAAAGGAGAATTTAGGGATATAGATGTGCTCTAAAAATACATCCCTAAGTCAAAGAGGCTGGAATGAGTGCTAGACTTAAGCGTACAGGTTCTGGCACTTCCTGTTCATGATCAGGATCACCAGCATTCAAAGCTCAGCTGGAGCCCACCTGCCCTGCCTTCAGCTCTGTGGGGATTCAGTGCATTTTATCATCGTGCTGGGCCTGTTTTTCCATGGGTCCTTCTCACTCCTCTTCTACCTCTAAGATCCTTGGATCTTTTGACCTACACAGGGGTGGAGAACCTTTCTTTATGTCAAGGGCCATTTGGATATTTATAACATCATCCGTGGGCCATACAACATCAGCTTAAAAATAACCAAAAAATATTTGGTCAAACATTTAATGAGCTCACCTCCAATGCCTTGGCAGAGCCAGACCAAATGATTTTGGGGACCTTACACAGCCTGCGGGTCAGACGTTCCCCACCCCTGCCCTAGAAGTGAGTTGTTAGGGGGCATGGGTCACACCAAGACTCACTGTGATGAGCAGCAGTTGAGATATTCTAGAAAGGAACTCAAAGGTCATCTCTTGGTCAGATGGAATTAAATGGTCCCTTCTGGGACCAAGCATGTCATGTGTCATATACATGGCATATGCCACATACCATGACATGTCTGTAGATGCTGTGGGCATTTGGTAACTGTGTCCTGGTGAAGTTGGCAGAAACCAAAGGGAAAGCTGGGGGCCTCTGAAGGCATGAGTCATTTCCTAGTCCTGCTGACGCTTTCCAAGAGAAATAATGGCTGTGCACGGGCTGGCTGCTTACAATAGCTTTCTGCGTGTTCTCAGAACTGGGATTTATTTTCTCTCTCACCAGTGGCCTGGGATGCCTGTTTCAGAGTTTGCTAGGACTAGCCAACGCTGGATGTAAAAACATCATTTAGGGGCCCATTATCAGGGCACCGTAGGGAGAGCTGGGCACGTGACCCCCATCACGGAATGGCAATGCTAATCGGACGGCCGCCGTGGGATTCTGTCCTCCCTTGTCAGGCGGAAAAATACAAGCTTCAATTTCAGGATCAGGCCCCAGGCTCCCTGCAAGGCTGCAGATTAAGCCCCTCACTAGCAAGCCTTTTAATTTACAGCGATTTATCAGGAAAAGCTGTATTTGCCATGTTGGGCCAGGAATCCCCGATTGGTCATTCCACCACATCATGAAGACATTAGTCACCAGAGCCAAAGGGTGAGGGGTCAGACTCACCCGGTTTCCTTTGTCCCCGGGTGGTCCGTGTAAACCCTGCAATAAATCAGGGACACGGAAACACATTAACGAGAAAACACGGGATGGCTGTGCGGGGCTTCCTCCCAGGCTCATAAAGCTCATCTCGGATTGCCTAATTTATTCAAGACAGATTTAATTATCCCCATTTTACAGAAGAGGGATAAAGGGGCTCAAGGAACTTAACCTAGGGATAAATCATGAGTTATGGGCAAAGCCAAGAGCGTGGCTCTGGTTTTCTGCCCCGTGGCCGACATCCTGCTGTGTTCTTCAAGATCACTCAGGGGGAGGAGCTACGTGTGCTGAGCACGGTCTGGGGAGGGAACTGCCTGGCCGAGGAGGTGTTTGCGTGGCTCTGCAGCCAGGGTTTTACTAGAAAAGTGGCTGCAGAGCTCCCAGACCCTCTCTGTGAGGTGCATGCTGCCCTCCAGGTCCTCAGCGGGGAGTGAGCATAGGCCAAGGCTGGCCGGGGCTGCACACTTAGCCAGAACAAAGCTGCCTGGGCAGCCACACACGGAACCACGGACAGGTAGATGGGCAATCTTCAAGTGGGTGGGAAGTAAAATTCTGGTTTTCTTAGGCAATCAACTTTTTAAAAACAAAGCAATGGGGAAATCTGCTTCCAATATGAAGCCGTCCCTTGGGAAAGCTGCCCTCTCCTTCTTGCAGGATAGGATTTGGATTTGATTTGCGTGCCGCCCCCTCCCCCTAATTGCCTCCCCCAGAACAGGACCGGCCATGGCACCTTCATCTGTGAGACCCCCACTGCATCGGACATGGAGCCTTGTAGCTGGTGGGGCTCATGATGTGTTTGCTGCATCCCAGCAGATGATCCACACAGGGGAGGACCTGGTCCCCCCGCAGGGATATTCCAGCGTGTCGACCAGTTGGCTGTTGGCAGCCTCTTCTGCCACAGAAGTGAGAATTCTTGCTGAGCTCTAGATTGTTTTGCTGTGGGCTCTGGGCATTCTGTTGTGACCCTGTCTGGTGGACAGGGTGCGTGAAGAAAACCTTTGACCCCGTGAGACTTACCGGAAGCCCAGCTGCTCCCGTTGGTCCTGTTATCCCAGGGTCGCCTTTGCTGCCCTGAAACAGGAGACAGAAGCCAGTGAGCCCTTCAGGACGCCGTAACAACCTGCCATCAGCTATTTTCTGTTTTAAACCTGGGATGCCTCGCCAGCTTCCCCCCATCCCCCCCAGCCGTCCAGGAAGCAAGGTCTGAGCGAAGGATTGGGGTGACGGATGTGAACTCTGTCCCGGGAGGCGGCTGGGGGCCCTTCCCCCTCCCTGCAGCAGTGCCCATTCCCCAAGGCCTCTGGGAGGATGGAGCAGTGTCCTGGGGTCCAGGCTGGCCAGAGGCAGAAGCAGTGGAGGAGAAAGAGGGAGGAAAGGGGGTGAACAGGAAGGCAGGGAAAAGAGAAGAGGAGAAAAGAGCTGTGATGTCTTCCTTAACGCTGTCACCCGGCGAGCAGCCCCCCTGGCTGAGGATGGCACGGGGAAGGGCGGAGGCGGCAGGCTGAGCGGTGACCCTGGGTCCACCGGTGCCAGGGCTGATGCCCTGAGACTGAGGAGGGTGCCAGGCTCCCCACTCACGGAACACTCACCCTCTCCCCCTTTGGTCCGGCCGGGCCTGGGACTCCGATTGGTCCTGGAGTGCCCTGCGGAGGCGAAGGAGAATGGAGGTGAAGGCCCTGAGGCGGGGAGCCCTGGGCCCCCGCCCGACGCCTGGAGAGGAGCAAGGTCCGGTGGCCAGTTTTCAGGGTTGGCGAGGCCAGGCTTGTGCAGGGCAGTCATTGGACTGAGCCGTGTTCCTGTTTGGGTTCCGGGCCTCGGGGAGCGAGAGTCTCCCCTGCCCCAGGGCCGGATTGGAGGAGGAAAACAGACCCCTTCACGTCGCAGCCAAGCTTGCCAAGGCTGAAAACGGTGGGAAAACGGTTGCTTAGTTTGCTCCCAGAAGCGCTTGGGAGGGAGTCGACACCAGCCCAGGGATGGGGGTCCGAGGGGGGCACCCCTTTGCTGTCACAGCGCCACATGCAGCGGGAGGGGCTTCATGCCACAGAGACCGATGCAGACGCACACACAGAGGCAGGCGTGGGGGGGTCATTCAGCCATCGCCCTCCCACCTGCCCCACTGCTGCCCGGCCGGCCCTCGGCCTCTGGCCGGACCTCTGTCCCGGCGCCCGGGCCCAAGGGAACCGCTGGGCGGGAGAGTGAATGAGTGTGCCTCGAGGCCTGGTCTGCCCACACTGGGGGAAGGGAGGTGTGCCAGAAGCTCCTCACCCAGGACTGTGGGGGCACGCTGGAGCTATGGGAGCTGTGTTGCTTAGAGACCGAGCAGGGTTTGCTATGGTTTAATTAAACATCTTCCGCAGGCTCCCAGGTGCAGCCGGCTAGATGGAATCTGTGTGGCAGAGCTTCCGATGGCTCGGCCTCATGTTTGTGTTTCCTGCTCAGACATGAGGGGGTGTGGGCTGGGCCTGTGGACAGTCCCCTGTGTTCCAGGTGCAGCTGTGAAAGGCGGGGCAGGAGAAAGAGGGGGAATGCGGATTTGCTTTGTGGGGAGGGCGGGGGCGGGGTGCAGAAGGCTGTTTTCAGGGCTCCCTTTGTAGCTACCAGCGGAGAGGGAGAGCTGTGGGCACCGGTGGCAAGAGCACGTCAAAAACCAAAGAGGCAGGGGCAGAGCAATGGTGCAGCCCAGGACTCCAGAGTCACTGGCTGGCCCCCAGTCCTGCCTGACGGCTTTGAATTCTGTGATACAGCAGATGTGCTTTGGCCTCTCTGAGGCTCAGTTTCCCCACCTGTAAAGTGGGGGTGATAACACGAGTGCCTGCCTCTTAAGCCGCTGCCAGGTTAAAATGGAGGAACACATGTCACGCATTTGGCGCCCAATAAACATCAGTATTGTCAGGGCAGGGCGACTTTTCTCATGTAAATTTTCCTCTAAGGCAGTGATACCTGTTTTATGAAGAAAAAAAAAAAAATAAATAAACCCTCAGGCTCCAGGGGACCACATTTCCTGCTGCCCTCTGTCCATTGAATGGAGGAAGGAGCTGGGAGGGAAGTCTCCATTTCTCTGAGCCCAGCCACAGACCATCGATTGGCCCAGCTCTGCCGGGGCGCCTGGGACATGTGTGTCCGGGGCGAGGAGGATGGGAGTGGAGGGCCTGAGGTGCGGGAGCGAAGCCATAATAATGCTCAGGAAAGGGGCATAGTCTCCGTTTATAATTTAACTCCATAAACACGGAGCGGGGAGAGGCCCCTGGGAGGCCTGTTGCCAGGGTGATTGGCCATCTCCCTCTACCCTGAGCGTGAGTCCTCCCTCCTCAGGTGAGCCCTGCAAGTTCTCCTCTTCCCTCAGGGGTCCCTCTAGCCGGCTCCTTTACAGCCTGTCTTCTACGCAGACCAGGCACCCGCCACCTCAAAATGCCCTGTGAGGTCGGAGCTGAGATGGGGCTGCCAGGGGCTGAGCACGCATACAGCTCTGGCTACAGCTGCCCCGAGGGGGAAGCCCAGCCTCCCGGCCCTGCTGGCCAGTGACCCCACACCATGGGCTTCCGCTGGGAGTGCCACTGCCCTGAAGACCCGATGGAGAGCTCTGGGGGGCGAAGAGGAGGGGCGTTTTTTTCCTGATGCTTCAGTTGTTAAAAAAGAGAAGGTTCTGGTACTCTCCAGCCAGGAGTAGGGGATGTGTGTTTTCTGGAATCAGGAGGAACGAAGAAAAAAAGGGGGCCCACGTGTCCGTCAGTTAGCTCTGCATACACCCCCTGTTGGAATGGATGACTGTGGTGCAACTGGAAGTGCAACGCGCCCACAGAACATCCAGCTGGGACTGACCTGGGTGCTCCTCACGCTACACCTGCCTTCACCCGTCCGTGCTGTCCCACCCACTACACCACACTGGCGGCTACGCAGATCTAGGAAGCCCCCATGGGCAGACAGGACATGGACAGCGCTCACAGTATGAAGACAACACAGCATGACGGGCACATACAGACACTGTTGTGTTTGGTGGGGGTGAGTGATGGCCCAGATCCCCAGGGCTGGGCTCCCAGCCGCAACTCAGCACCCTCTTAGGAAGAGTTTGCAGCGGGAGAGGGACTCCCACTCCACATCCGGGAAATTCATGTGTGAGGACCCTGGGTGCATACTACGAGCAGGGAACTTTGGATGAAGGCCAGCCATTATTGGTCAGGAGGCTGGAATAAGCACTTCCGAATAGAGCACAGGAGGTACCTTTCTGGGATAAGTCAGGACTCACTGGGAAAACGAGGCCACAGTGGGATAGACGAGAGGGAGCACAGGCTGGGTGGGGTGGGGTGAAGGGTAATGGAGAAGCGACACTCACCGGTGGCCCAGGTCTGCCGTCCAAACCTGAAGCTCCCTGGACAAAGGGAACAGTTCGACCAAAAGAAGGGTAAGGGAGGAGTGGGAGGGAGAAAAAGGGGTCAGGGAGGGAAGAGGTGAGTGAAGCAGTGACTCTGGACAGACACAAATGCTGGTAATCAAACAAAATGGGAGGAGTAAGCTTGGGAGGACAGGTAATGGTATTCACATGGAAACCAACAACAACATGGAGACGCCGGATGCAGTGTGGCTGACTGCCGAGCAGGCTGGATGGAGATCAGTGCACATGACTGTCCTGATCCTCTGAGCCCCCGGATTCCCTTCCTCCTTTGATCCCCTCTCAGAAACTCCTCCCGAAGGGTGGCAGCGCTCTGGGGAAAAGGATATAGAAAGGGAATTCATAGGGGCGTGTCTGGAACCTGAGCTGGAGCCTCTTTCCCAGGGCCAGTCTCACTGGGGAGAGACAAAAGCCTACTTGAAGGGTGGGGACCTGGTGAGGGGGGATCTCCCCAGCCTATTTTGCAAACCTGTTGAGACCGGGCAACATGGGGGAACCCTGAGAGGTTTGGCACTGAGGTACAGCACCTGGTTTTGAAACCTGAGTTGATGCTTCTACTCCAGCCAGGTGGGAAGAGTTGGCCCTTAAATGATAATACTAATGATGCCTGGCATTTCTCCGGACCTTCACAGTTTGCAAATCTCAACACAAGCTCAGTCTACAAGTGTTATCCCAGATGAGGGTGCTTTTACAGAATAGGGCTTTGGGGCAGCTGACTGGGACAGAGGTCTAAGGCCATGTATACCCTGGAGTAAACTGGCTGAAGGTGGGGTGCTCTTAAGACCCACTCACAGTGTCTGGTGTTATATGCGGTGGGAACGGGAGTTCTTCCTCAACCTTGGGCTATGAATCTACCCCTGAGATCCACCTTGGAGAACCAGGGGAAATTATCGAATGATTCCAGTGTGACAAGCCAGGGAGAAGGAAGCAGGACACTCGAGCTCAGTAAGGCCTGAGTTATTGGAAACTGCTTCCAAATGGGCCTAGGACTTAGGATTTGAAGGTGGAGGAATGCCCCCAGGCAAGAGGGCAGGACCTGCTTCCTCCTGCGGGAGGGGTGTTGGATGTAGGACCCTACAGAGCTTGCTTCTCAGTTCGAGGCCCTACTTACTTCTGGAATGATCTTGACTTACACTGAGTGGCCAGATTATTATGATCTCTGAATGCATATATCTATATCTATATCTATATATCTATATCTATATCTATATCTATGTCTATGTCTATGTCTATGTCTATATCTCTATATCTATATCTATGTCTATGTCTATGTCTATGTCTATGTCTATGTCTATGTCTATATCTATATCTATATATCTATATCTATGTCTATGTCTATGTCTATGTCTATATCTATATCTATATCTATATCTATATCTATATCTATATCTATATCTATATTTATATCTATATCTATATCTGAGGCCCAGAGCATGAATTCATGCATGAATGGGGTCCGGTCAGCCTAGCCAGAGGGAAGGGACATGGGCAGTTGGCTGGCCTGCCTGCTGGTCTAAGGGACAATTTGCATATTAGCCTTTTATTATAAAGGATATACACTGATTGGCCAGATTATATGCGTCCAGAGATCACAATAATCTGGCCACTCAGTGTATAGCCTAGAGAGCTGTGGTTCTCAACCCCAGCTGCAGCACCAGCATTTCCTGAGGCGGATGTGAAATAACACAACCAAGTCAACCTCAGTCTCCAAGAGTGAGGCCAGGGTAAAAGCAAGCTGGAAAGTCCAGGTGACCTCCATGTGCAGCCAGTGTTGAGAACTACTTATATCATATAAGGCAAATAGGAAGGAGTCAATAGGATATGCCTGGAAAAGCATGCTGCTGGTATATGAAATATAGTATTGAGGTAAAGCCCCAAAACAGAACATTAGCTAAATAGCCACAAACGTTGTCTCCTCATATTAACACTGAGTTATCTTGAGAGGTCTGGAGCACAGACGGGAGGTTTCCAGGCCCTCTGTGGGCCACTGACCTATTTTGTGTGGTCAGTAGTGCTGCAAGTAATTTTGATTGAATGTAAGAGACTAGGGAGATTTCACATAAAATGCCAGATTATCGAAAGTAGAAAAATGAAAGATAGACCGGGTACCGTGTCTTTCCTCTGGCATTTTCTTTGTTGATACGACTTGTTTGTTCTCTCTGCCATTTGCGTTTTGACAGAATTCTCCGTGTTCACTAGGGTTGTTGGGGCCATGAAGGTGGACAAGGAGAAATTCCTGGTTGAGTGGGGGCAGGGACGCTCTTTAACAGGAAGGAGCTCTTCACCATTCCAGATGCAGTGTAAGACGGGAAAACGTCTGCTAAAGTCATCAGTTTTCTGTGGTCTGTCAAGCGCATCCGCCCCTTAAACATTCCTGCTCTTGATGCACTAATAGGATGTAGTTGTGTCTTTTGCTCTTGGTTTTCGGTTGCTGTGATTATATTAGCCAGACCTTCAAGCTCTGCCAAGCTGGGGTAATTGGGCTTCCCATTGTTCCCCTGCTCTTTACGGCTTCCTGGGGGTGGGGACTGGCCTGGCGCCTGGCACAGGGGAAGCCCCCGGGGCTGGAAAGAGGCCCTCAGGTGGCTGTGACCTCAGTGGAGGAGCAGCCTCTGGCCTGGCTTGGCCACCGACGTAATATGTGACCTCAAGTGAGTCACTTTCTTTTCTGGGTCCCACAGTGAAGTGGTCAGGTGGGTCACTGAAATCCCTTCCAGCCCTTGATAAACAAGCACAAAGCAGTGCCAGCCTCACTGGGTTGGAGGGAGGGCAGAGCCCCGGGTGGTGGGATGTGCTCTCCCGGACGAGGTGACCGGCCCACCAGCCCACTGAAGCTGCTTGGGGCCAAAGGGTTTGTCCAGGCCACACCTGGAAAGGTGTGCAAGCCCCCTCCCCTGACCGGGGGCCTCCAGCCCTGGGCAGGCCGAGAGGAGAGATTTCAGGGGACTGGGATCGAAGTGGCCTTAGCCACCGGGGACAGGAGAATCTGACCTTTTACAAGCTTTTCTGCTGTGGCCAGTGCTTAAGAGCGGAGACCAGGGGTGCTCTTGGGGCCCCTCCTGGGAAAACAGAAGAGTGATGGAGCAGACGCCTCTGTCCCACTGCTCCCACGTTCTCTACCTGTGGCCCCTGTGAGGGCACGTTTGTTGCTTCTGAATCAGGCACTCCTAGGGCCCAGGGCTGTGCTTATGCCACCTCTGGCTCTCCAGCTGGGTGTCCTTTGGGGTTGGGGGCCCCGTCTCATTCAGCCTCCTAATCCCCCCACACTGAGACAGGGCCCGGCCGGAGCAGGCCTCAGTAAGAGAAGCAGAGCCCAGGGCCTTGCCCGGGTGGGAAAGCAAAACCACACCGAGCTCTGGAGTGCCCGGCGCCCTTCCTGACCCCCGGCTGGGCTTCTCGCAACCATTGCTGGGCCCGCGATACTCACAGGCAATCCCAGAGGACCTCGGTCTCCTTTTTCTCCCTGGACACCCTTCTCTCCTTTCGCTCCATCTAGTCCTGCTTCCCCCTGAAGGCAAGGGAGATGGGGAGATTACAGAAGGGCATGTCTCAGACAATTCATTCTAGAATTCTGAGGTCCTGGGGACAGGAGTGGGTGCAGGGATGGGGAGGTAGAGGAGGAAGGAGGTGGAGGTGGCTGGCCCAGGGATGGCAGGCTGGGGGTTCCAGGGATCCCTGGCTTGGCCCCTGGCTACCTCAGGTGGAGCCCCATATCCCTGTAGTAACTTTAAGGTCCCCAAAGGAAAAAGAGATGGTGGTGTGGACACAGACCCATAGGGAAGCTGCACGTCAGGCTTTGGCATAGGTGACTGCATGGCTGGAAACAGGGGACCCTGCAGAGGTTGGCTGGCAGATGCCTGACATGCCATCACCGAAGCTCTGAGGCTCCCAAACAAGTTGGGAGAAAAACTGGCCCAGAGTCTCCTGTCATGTTAGGGCAGGAGACCAGGGCTGTTGTCACGCCAGCGGGCTCCAGCTCCTCTTAGCCATCTGGAGTGCGTTCAGGGGGAGATTGGGGGAGCCCCAGGCCAGAGTGCAGCAGAGTGGCTCCTGGGAGGGGTCCCATGCCATGCTGCTCTGTCTCCAAGGGTCTGGGGCAGGTGGCGTGGGAAAAGGATCTCATCATTTGCAGAGCACCTAACCTGTCATTCTGTAGGGTCCACTGGTGGATGGGAAATTTCTAAATCTGAAGTCTGCCCAGTGTCAATGATGGATGCTACAAGGACCATAGGACTCCACTGTGTCCTGATCATACACCACTGGCCAGAGGGTCACATGATTCCATTTAGGGGAGGGGTCAGCTGGGCTGCCCACCTCTGAAGCACTTTCCCTCTTTTCTGCCCTAAGTCCTCTTCCCCCACGCCTCACCCAGCACCTGTCACATGACCTCTTCTTACCTTTGGTCCAGGAATGCCTTGGAGCCCCTGCATTGGGAATGAAAACAAGGCGCTTCAGAGCTATATAGGTTAAGTCAAAATCCTCTTCTGCAAGTTGGACCACAAACGTGCAAGGGCTCAGGGTGCAGGGCCTGGCCTGGGTCCCTGTCCAGGGGAGGCAGAAGGAAATACTAGGAGGGAGCTGTGCTTGGGGCTCCCTAGGGTGGGGTCTGACCCAGGCTTCCCCAGCCAGAGAGTCTCATGAAAGACTGAGAGGAAACACGGCAAAAGTTGAATAAATGAATATATGCCAAGTGCTTAGAGCAGAATCTAGCCTATAGCAAGTTACATAAATGTCGGCGACTATGATTATTATTACTACCACCTCTACCAATGACAGCAGGTGACACAGTGCCTGAGCGAGGCATGAGCTCCACAGAGGCAAGAACGAGCACCTGTTGGTTGGGTGCTTGGGAGCCCTCTAGCTACAATGCAAAGGGGTCTTTTTAGAGGCCTTTCCTCAGCTGTAACCATGGAAAGGCCCGTCCAGTGGGGCTTGTTTTAAATGGTTCACTTTCTATTTGAATCCCAGTCTTCTGACCGGTTGGTTAGCAGGAAGGAGGAAGAACAGGAGCTGATGTCTGAGGGCAAAGGTCAGAGCTTAGTGACAGCGACTTCGGTAGAGCCCTTGGACTTGACCCCAGGGCCGCCCTGCCAGTCGGCTGTTTCTAAGGAACCAGGCAAAGCCCACGCTCTTTAGTGTCCTGGGATGGAGTTTGTTTGACATGGGAGGGGAAAAGAAGGGGTGTGTGGATGAGAAAAAGCCCACCCTGGGAGGAGGAGGTGACAGTGACTGCCCTGGGGAGGGGCCATTAGGAACCCAGCCAGCAGGAACTGAGGCACTGATGAACCTGACAGACTTACCGGAGGTCCGGGAGGCCCCTCTGGTCCAGGTGGCCCAGGCACCTAGAAGTGAGAGGGAGATGGTTAGCCTACCCTGTTTCATCTAAGTGGTCCCGCCTTCCAACATGGCCTGGGGTCTGGCTGGAGATTGCAAAGCCGAAGACGCATCTGCCTGGCATACAGTCTCCCCAAAAAAGGCTTAGAATATGTCACCAACTCATGGCAGCTCAACATTAGCCTTTGTAATGTTGCAAACAAACGAACAAATGTCCTTGAGGCATCTACCCACCCTAGATTTTTTTTTTTTTTAAACTAGAAAATCTGGCAGCGCTAAGTCCTTGTTCCTGCCTGTCAACAATGCCTGGAGCTGAATGAGAGCTTTCCCCTCCGGGTGGGTCCTGAGACCTTTAGTTTGACCCAGTCCCCACCGCTCCCTTCTGTGTTTAACCCGAACCTCGGGGTTTGTTGGTTGCATACCTGGCCCTTGTAGGCATTTGAATTTGAGACCTTGGCTTAGAGGAGCAGAGTTGGTTTTCTGGAATTGGGGGAGGCTTAGATATTGCCTCAAGTCCCCCCTCATTTGTAACAGAGACTGTTTGCTTTGAGGGCAAACTGAAGTTGAAGAGATGTGGATGGGACAGTGCAGTTGGGGAACCCAGGGCCGTCTTCCTCTCTAAGGGGGATGGTATTTGGTGATGAAGATGGACACCCACTTGTCTACAGCAGCCCCCCAAGAGGTGGGAGGAGACCTGCCTGCTCCTCTCTGAGCTGGTCACCCCACCTTTCCGGGGATGGAATCCCCTGGGTGTGACCTGGTGGAGACCCTCTGTCAGGCCACCCTGGAGGGAGGCCCTGCACTGGGCAGGTGGACACCCTGACATTGAACTCGTGGACGTTTCAGCTCCAGAATATACAGTCTCCTCACAGGGAACTCAATCTTTGGAAACTGTACTTAAAAAAAAAGTACTCCTTCTTCTTCTTCTTATAAATAAATAATTCATGTATCCTGATTGTGGTAGTGTTCAAATCTATGCATGTGTTAAAATTCACAGACGTGTACACACACACTTCCCCAAAAGTCAACTTTACTATATAATAATGAAAATATAAAAAAAGTTAAAGTAATGCAAACCCATTAAAATATTTTATAAATTAAAAAAAATTGAAAGGAGGCAAAGGAATGAATATCTGAGTACTGCTAATATTTTGCTTTATTTCCTTCCACTTTTTTTTGATGCATAAAATATATTTGAATATATGTGCATACATATGTCAATATATATATCAATTCATATATATGTATACATATGAAATGACATATATATGTATGTATAACTTGATTCTCTGTTCTTTTTCATTTAACACAAAACCCACTTTCCCATTTTTTGAATGTTGCCCACAAGCCTCTGTCGTATGTCAATGTGCTATTCATCGAGCGCAGAGTTGCTGCTTAGCCAGGGCTCGGAGCAGTGCTTGGCACAGGGACGGTCCCAGCATGAGGGCTATTATTGCCATCAGCATTATTACCAGAAGTTACTTAATCATCTCCTTCTTGTGAGAAATGTAGGCTGTTTCCAAGTTTTCCTTTAAATACGCCTGGAAACAACACTTTGGGGCATAATACTTTTCCTGAATCTCAGAGCGTTTCTTTAGGAGGCTATCCACCTCCAGGCAAGGAACATGCTACACAGTCAGGCTTGTGTCACTAAATGCAGATGGGGCGTGGTGACCCCAAAGGTGACAGGAGTCAGGGAACTTCTTCAGGGACTGAGGAGGCATGGCGGTGGTGTCTGGGGGGCCCAAGTCTTCCCGCCAAGCACCCTCACCCTCATGTGCCCTTGACCTCTTACTTTCCTGGCTCTTCCCCTCCATCCTACATGTGTGAACCTGGCTTCAGTCCTCTGATACCACTGTTCCCTCCTCTTCCTTTCACCTCCACGCCCCTCAGAGAACAACACCTCCCTTTCTGGAAGCCCACCTCTTCAGCTTCTCGGCAAACTTCCACCGAAGCTTCGGAACTCTGCTCAAACGACCCATTTTGGGGATGCTCACCAGACGCCCGAGTTGGTGCCATTCCAGTACCCACTACTGGGGACTGTTTGCTGCACAGGCTCAGCCCCAGGAATGAAATAAGGTGGGTGCCCGGTGAAAGGCTCCTGAGGGACTTGATTAACGGGGAGACTGTGGAGCAGACGGGGGCTCCGTGGCTGGCCACTGCGATGCTCGGTGAATGTTCCCCTCCTCGCCCCCTTCCCGAACAGGGCAGCTCTGAGTTTCATTCTGGACCGTGGGAATTCTGCCCACACCGGAGAGACCAGGTGTGATGAGGTTCCTGCCCACGAACCCCTGGGATACAAAACGGCAGAGCGGGCACCACCTACCTCTACTCCTGGGTCACCCTTTTCCCCAGGCTCTCCTTTCTCCCCCTGTGGGCACAAAACACCACGGCGTGGATGCCAGCACTCGGGGGAGCCTGGGACAGACACACCCTCAGATCTGTGACAAACCAGAGAGGAGGTAGGAGCCCTTCAGAGGGGATGGAGTGGTCAGCCTGAGGGACGGAGAAGGGGCAGGTGGCCTGTGCCCCCTGCTTTTCAGAACCTGAGTTTTCAGCATGTAGGAGGAGAGGCTGGCACTCTCCATGGGTCCTGCAGGGCACAGGCCCTGGGGTGGGCCCACAGAATATGGCATACGGCAAAGGCGATTATGTGACAAGCTTATGTTTATAGTATACAAATGATGACCTGTGACATAGGTTACGATTGTAACAAATATGTCACATACACAGAGTTCTGTCCTGCCAGCACACACGGAGAGACTCCTGCTGGCCTTGGCCTTGGAGAAACAAGTTGCTATAACGTGAACTGCCTACTGTGGGGAAGGCCGTGTGGCAGCCCCTAGGAGCTGAGGGACCGGTCCCGCTATAGCAAGGAGCTGCACGCTGCCCACAGCAGTGAGCCCGGGTGGGGTCCCAGCTCCAGATGCGAACGCAGCCGGCTGACTCCTGACACAGCCTCGGGAGGCCCTGGGCGGAGGACCCCGCTGGGACGGGCCTGGGCTCCTGACCCACAGAAACCGTGACATCGTAAGTTGGTATTGTTTTAAGCTGCTGAATTAGTGGCGGTTTTTAAAACGGCCACAGAAATGAATGAGGCTCCAGAGGCAGAGCGAGGGCCAATGGGGGGATGGATGGTGATGAGGGAACTTGCACCCCAAGTCTAGGAGCACTCCCTTCAGCGTGGTGATGCCCCTCCAAGAAGGGGACATGTTGGTGGTGCTCAGCTGCCTCCTGTTGTAGCTGAGTGAGGTGGCTGCAGGCAGTCCCAGGCTCCAAATCTTCTCCCCCCCCCCTCTCTCTTCCTTTCTCCCTTTCCCTCTCCCTCTTTCTCTCCCCCTCCTTTTCACAGGTGGGACTGGTGGGCCTCTGAGGTCTTCCCACTCGTAAGAGGCGAATTCTGAGTCTAAGATCCTGGCACCTTTGAACTAAGACAGAGGCTGTCATGCTGTGGGCAGAGGGAGTGGGAAACCTTGTTTAGACTCAACTGCCCTCAGGAAGTACCTGCTCATTAAGAGGCCCCCCTCCCCAGGCCCGGCCGGCCAGCTGGGGTTAGTGCGGCCTCACTGTAGTGCCAGGCACCTGCTAGGCTGCCAACCACGTGAGGGGCACCCTGCTCAGGTGTCCTTGCCCGCAGCTGCCACTGATCACCTGGGTACCCAGCCCTCTGGCCTTACTGTGAATCCCGGGAGCCCGATGGGGCCGGGCAGTCCTGTGGTTCCGGGTCTCCCTGGGCCACCTGGTTCTCCTTTCTCCCCAGTTGGGCCATCTAGACCCTAAGGACCGACAGAGATCTCCGTTAGTCAAGCGCAAGGTCGGCACGCCGAGCAGCTGTGACCCAGTGTGGCATGCACGCACGCTCCCTTCCTCCGCGGGCTGGTGTGTAGGACGGTGGCCTTTCAGTCGGAAGCCACGGATGCCAGAGAGGGCCCCAAGTCACGGCAGTGGCCTGGCCGGAGTGGGCTGAGACCCCTTTTTCGCACAAGCATTCTCTCGTGGTGAGAGGCCTTCTGCACACTTCCCCGAGAGGCAGTTTTCTACCCATCACTTCCTCTCCGTCCCACATCCTAGGGGGTATGCAGGGAAGGCATTCTACGCCCACTGCAGAGAGGGGACCGAGGCTCTGCCAGGCTCAGGGACTTTCAGGGGGACACAGGCAGAGACGACAGAACAGGACCCAGGTCTCTTAAGGGGGGACACTGGCCTTTTCTGAGGGGAAACCAGGTGAGTCCCCTTCCCCAACTCCCAGGTGAGCAGCCAGGCCCCACGTCACGCTGGGGCAGGGAGGGGGTAGGGGGGACAGGATGGGGTGCATGCAGAAGGGCAAAGGGGTCCAGACAGTCCTGGCACTTACCGGTGGGCCTGACTGCCCCGTCTCCCCTTTCTCCCCTTTCTCTCCCGGGCTCCCCGGATGTCCGTCTTCTCCCCTTGTTCCTGTGGGCCCAGGCTTTCCCGGGGGGCCTTGGGGACCAGGAGGGCCTGTGTCTCCTGGTTTGCCTCGAGGTCCCTTTAAAAAATATCAACACCGCTCATTAGGTACACGCGTGGAGAACACGGAGGGAGAACGTGAAGGGAGGGGGGCCTGCAGGACCAGCTCTTCTGTGCTTGGTGGACCAGGCAGACAGCTCGTCCGACTCCCTGTGGGAACCCGAGGGGCCTCAGCTCCTCCGGAGCCCCCACCCATCACCCCTAGCGCCAAGACCAGCTTCCGAGGTTTGTCTGGGTGTGTGTCTGTTCTCACCTTTTCCCCATCGTGGCCTGGAGGGCCTGGCAGTCCAATCTCCCCCTGTGGCCAGAAAACGGAAGGTTACTCAAGGGTGACAGCTGCACCGAGCGGCCCTTCCTGTGCCGGGAGTCCTCAGGAGCATGGACACACACTGTCTCCGTTCCAAGGTGAGGTCCCCAACCCCGAGCGTGTGCTCGGCCCTCCGTTCCTGTGGGCCCAAAGTCTGAGCACCCTGGCTCCGAAGTCCCTGTGTAGCCCCAAATCACACGCTGCCACCGAGGAAGGGCCCTGGACACTCCCTCCCTGGCTTCAAGGGAGGGGCGCCTCCTCTTGGGTCCCTTCAAACCCAGCCCTTCTGTCCTGGCTGCCCCACAGGGCTCTCCTCTCATTTCCACACCAACCCATGCCCCTTCGTTAGCTCAGAGAGGGAGATGAAGGAGGCGTGGCCAGCTGCACCACCGAGGTAAATAAAATGCCTGAGGTGCTGAGAGAAGCGGGGAGGGAAGGACAGAGAATCCTGCCTGAGAGATCAGGGGAGGCTTTCAGGAGGAGATGAGCTTTGAAAGGCAAGGAAGAGGGGAAGGGGTTTCAGGGTAGGGGCCTCATGAGCAGAGGGCAGAGGGGCAAACACTCACGGCCTTCTAGAAAAACCACAGGTGCTGGGGCAGAGAATAAAGGGAGCCAGGGCAGGGAGCAACGAGGGGTGAGATTGGGGATGGGCTCAAGGCCCTGCTCCCTGGTGGCAGGTTGGGGTCACTGCTGTGGGTTTGGCTGGGGCGGGGTCTGGTGGGGCAGGCTCCACCACATGATAGGGGTTATGGGGGCCCAGGACAAGCAGCAGGGGAAGAGTGGCAGAGCCCCGGGTGGGAGGGGTGACGGCAGCTGGAATGTGGGTGGGGCCTTGGTGCACTGGGAGGGGTTACAGGCCAGAGCCAGGTGGTGCTCTGGGGAGATGAGAGGGCCATGGGATGAGGGGTGGCTACGGGGTCCCATGCTCAGAGGCACATGCTCTGTAGGGTCAAGACAAGTGTTACCTTCTGGCCTGGGATCCCTGGAGCTCCAGGGGGGCCGATCTGCCCCGGAAGACCAGGGGGCCCCTAGGAAAGAAAACAGAGACTCAGGAAGGACGTTCTGAGGAGCAGGAGTGGCCTGTCACCAGAGGGGAACAGCCATAGGCTGGCTGAGAGGGAGCAGGCATTTTCAACCATTCTGTCCGTGGCAGGAACACCTTTTCTGCAAAGGAGATAATCCGGGGACTTCACCATGCGTAGGCGATAGGCACTGGGTGGGTCTGGGTTAAGGAGTGGCGGGATCCAGAGCCAGGCCCAGCAGCCTCTCTCCTCCTGCCTCTGCTGCACCACTGGGCCCCAGGGCTCCAAGACAAACCTGACCTCCCCAGACAGTGACCTAAAACGCCTCCAGGAAACCAAACGTCCAGCCACAGGTGAAGGTCTGGTTCACAGAGGCAACGGAGTGCAGCCAGCCATGAGAGAAGAACAGGGACCACACCCGCTATGCCCTGGTGACACCCAGACACGGCGCTGAGCAAACGAAGCCAGACCCAGACAGCTACACACGGACATTCCCACTCACAGGCCACAGGGAAGACACGGCTAACCACGGCCACAGAAAGCCGAGTGGTGCCTGCGGGCCGGGGCAGGAGTGGGACCGACCTCCAGGCCCATTCGTGGAAGAACTCTCGGGAGTGACTGGGGTGGTGGACACATGTGTACGGACACATTTGTCAAAACTCAGCCAACTCTGCACCTAAAAGGGGTACATTCTATTGTTTGTAAATGATATCAGGCTGTTTTTAAAAAAACAAAAACACGTGTTTCCAGGAAAGTTTTGCTTCCAAAAGCTATTGCGGATAATCCATTTTAATGATTCCAAATGAAGCGCATGGATTCCAGAATCCCGTGGTTAACACCCATTTCTGGGACTGGGGCACCTGTGGTGGGTGCTTGGTTCTGGGTGTGTGTCGTCCCCACGTGTGTCCGTGGCTCGTGGCCACTAACGGTATTGGGTGAAACAAACGCCAGTGGTTTGAGAACTTGGAGCCCTCCCCCGGCCCCTCCACCTGGTGGTGGAGTTGGGACACGCATTCCCTGTAGGCTGCGCTGGCAGGCGCGTATGCAAAAGCCAGGCGTGGGAGGCACTGCTCCCAGGTGCCCGTAATAAAACTGATTTGTAGGAAATGCAGAGGGTCTTTACTCATTGTTTCAGGGTTATGCACTTTATCAACAGGAGGTGGAGAAAAAGGAGAAACACAAAAGCATCCTCCTCTATATTTCTATTTCCTTGACAGAGCTGTCATGAGAACCCGGCATTTATACTGTGCCAAGTAGACTCTGCCTGGTAGATCAGGGGAGGCTTCAAGGAGGAGGCGCATGGCTGAACCAGGGAAGAGCCACTCCAGCAGACAGCCATGACCCAGGCTGGGCTACAGCTCCTGAGACCACCTGTTCAGACTTAGCTCACCCTCTGCCTCAGCCCTGCAAGGCCAACCCTCACCCAAAAAAGCCCAGCGTCTGCCTTTGTGAGGCAAGACCTCCAGGCCCTGCTTCCAGCCTGCCCTCCCCGCAGTCCCAGCCTGGTGGCCGGGGAAAATGAAGGAAGAGGAAGACTTATGATCAAGGTCAGCGTCAGGGTCTCCTAAAAACCATCACCATGCCATCAGGTGAAGGGCAAGTCAAGAGCCACCTGTAGGGTCTCCTTGGCCCAGTCATGGACCGTGGGAGCTGGGCCCCTCTAAGGAGCAGGCTACGTGCCTCCCAGCCCCTCACACCCCAGAGGCTTGTGATCACTGGGCAGGGAACCCCCCACCTCTCACTGAATGCCACTCTGAGGCTGTGTTACTTTGATTCAGACAAGCCCTCACATAGCCTGTGCCCTTTCCCTCGCTTTGCCAAAGAGCGAGGAAGCAACACCCCTAAGCTTTCTAGCCGCTGACTGGGAGCCTCCCTCGCTTTCCCCTCTTGTCCCAGGAGCTAGGTCCTGCTGCACTGCCCTTCAAACCGACAGGCAGCCTAGCAAACTACGGAATCACTCAGTTGTTGGCATTAAAAAAGAATATACAGCTTGTAAATGGAGTCGTTAGAAGGTTTCCTTTAAAGGAGTGGCTCTCCACCTGAGGCGGTGTTGCCCCGGGGGGCATTTGGCAATGACACATTTGATTGTCCTTCCAGTTAGGTCTGGGAGGGTGGAGACCAGACATATGCTGAACACCCTGCAGCCCCCAGGACACCTCCCCTCACAGAACCGAGCACAGGGGACCCAGCTCGGGCTGGGCTGTCAACAGTGCTCAGGCTGAGGAGCTCTGCTTTCAGGGGTGGGTGTCGTATGAATTTGAAATACTATAAAATTGATGCAAAAGGGGGACATGGTCCAGGAAGACATGTGAAAGGGGAGTGCGTGCTCTGAAGAAATGGGCCCCCCAAACCTTGGATGGGCCAACACCCTGCAGGGTGCCAGGATGCTCCAGGAATGGCTCTCAGTTACCCGGAGCCAGGAGAGCGAGCGGGTCAGATGGGCCCAGGGGGAGCCAGGCCACCTGGATGCCAAATGAGCGGGCCATGTGCCCGGAGGCTGCACGGGGGACCCAAACAGCAGGCCAAAGGAGGGCACCAAGGGAGCCTGGCTCAGCGGCCTGGCCTGGGGCCTCCATCCAGGTGTGCAGCGCTCCCCTCTGAGGCCTCCGTGCAGCGTGAGGCCCACACCTGCAGCTCTCCCGTCCCGGGCCAGCCCCACGCACCTGGAGCGCCTCGTTGATGCTGGCGTTGCACTCCACCGCCTCTCCTTCCCCGGCCTCTCCCTTGGAGCCCTGCAACACAAACAAAACCTCAACGCCTGCCCCAGCAGGGACGGGGCCACAGCTGCCGCCGCTGTCTGTCCAACCGACCCGGGAAAACACTGGCTGTGCCTGGCTGCGCACAGGTGGGTCCAGGGCAGCGAGAGGGGAGCCTAGCAGGGGACCCCAGCGCTTTCTGAGGCTGCCGGGGAGTTGGACTCCGTGAGCCCCGAACTAGACTGACCTGGAGAAGACTGAGCCCTGTCCTGGCTGCAAGGCCAGACCCTTATCGGGGACCATCAAGCTCTTTTCCTCTCCTCTCAAGACCCCGGGACCAGCCCCTCCACTCTGTGAGCCCAGGGAGGTGAGATGGGCTGGGACTGTGGGTGAGGTGCACATACCTTGGGGCCAGCTGGTCCCTGCGCTCCAGGCACTCCGGGGTCCCCCTATGGTACGACAAAACTGGAGTGAAATGGAGATAAAGCTTCGTACAGAGAACCTGATGCCTCCAGGTGGGCCACGTGCTAGGGCCACGGGCGGCCAGGAGGCTCAGCCTGGCTCAGCCATGAGGACGCAGAGGTGCCTACAGGCTCCCCTCTTCCCGGAGGCAGCCCCTCCCCGCTTCCCAGCCCCCTCGGCTTGCACTGAGAGGTGTTCTTTCTGTCCTGCGTTAGTTGTCAGTGGCCCCACCTGTGTCCGTCTGCCACCTCCCCAGCCCCTAAGCCAGCTGCCTCCGTGGGCACAGAGATGGGCCCTCTGGTTCACTTCATCCCCATTCTGCTCAGGAAGCCAGCGCTCCGAGACTTTTTGCCAATTAATTGCCTGGGCCAGTATTTGGCTTGAAGGGCCCATGGGTTCTTTTAGGGGCCCCTCTGTGTGTGAACAATCCAAACCGCAAGACGGAACACGGGAGGGGTGGGGAGCGGGAGGAATTAGGAGCCCCCAGCTTTCCTGAGCGGGGGGACGCGAGGGCACTTTTTCCTGTTGGAAACAGGACAGGGGGTGGGGAATAAACGAAACTGTGGTGTAGATTGTGAGAACAAACCACGCTGCAGTTGTTCTGGGATAGTGTTAACATTGAGGACAATTAAAAAAAATAAGATAAAAAGTGAAAATAAAGAAACAGTGAACCCTATAATGTAACTAAACTCCTGAGGACACTGGAGGCGGAGCTCATGGAGGTATAGCCACTGGCACCTCCAGGTCACCTGCCTCCCCGCCTCCCGCCAGTGTTCCAGCCGTGACCCCGTGAGGCCCACAGCACCCACCCGCCCCTGCCCGGGGAGCAGCTGGCGGGAAGTGGGAGTCCTTGAACCATGGCTTGCAGGCTAACAGAGCAGGGGGCTCTGGGCCACTCCCAGCCCCCACGTCCGGCCCCGGACCAGCCCTTGCATGACTGCTGTCTCAGGGGACAGACAGCAGGCAGGAGTCCCAGCCGGTCAGCCTGTGCCTGGGGGGTCCAGCTGCAGGGGTGGCCACACTGCTCCTCTCTGAGCTGGGGCTTTAACTCCCAAGCGGACCCTCATCCTGCAGCTTTCAGGTCTGGGGCCTCTGTACCTTGTCCCCCTGCTTTCCGGGGGGGCCGGCCTGGCCATGGACACCAGCTTCTCCCTGGGGAAGGAGAGAGATGGGGAGAAGGCTTGAAGGGCACCTTGGACAGCTGCCAAAGGGGCAAAAGATGGCCCTGCTGCTGATGTCCTGGCTATTGTGTGTTTGGGCCTCCATCTCTTTCTCTACTGGACTCTACGGACTCACCCCATTCCACCTATCTGACTCCTACCCACGCTTGGGCCCAGCCCCGGTCTTACCTCCTGCAGCCCTTCTTTCTACTCCCTTCCTCCTCTGTTCTCACCACTGGCTGGTGTCCATCCCATATCCACCTCCTCCTCCCCGCCAGCCAGGCCACCCGCAGTTCTCAGTTAACATACATGTGCCCCGTTCTGTCTTGGCCCCAAATGTGGATGCCAGCAGCCCCTGGCGGGTCATTCTGGAGCCTGAAACACTTGCAGAGGCACACTCACCCTGCCTGGTGTGTGTAGGGGGTGTATGTGGGGGGACACGGGGAAGGGGAGTCCTGGAGGCCTAGGATAGGAGGGGAAGGGGAAATAGGAAGAGGTCCATCCCAAACATATCACGTATTGAACACCTGCCTGGACTTGGAAAAAGGAGGAGATGTTGGGAACAGGCTTCTAGCTTCCCCTTCCTTCTGCCCCAGGGCGTGAGGTCAACAGTGACCAGGTTTTTCCAACCAGAAATGAAGACCCCAAATGTGCCAGCTATTCATGGCCTGAGGGGGCAGAGGGACAAACTCCAAAACTTGGGATGTCTGGGAACCCGGTGGGAGGGCCACCTTTGGCCAAGCTGGTGCTCAGATCAGGCTATCACAGTCAGATGGGCATGGGGCATGGGCACGGGGAAGGGGCAGCCACGTCTGCCAGTGAGGATCCTCGTGCTCTTGCACTGTATTCCTGCGAACTGTGGCTCTGCCACAAGAGCCAGATTGCGGGCCAGCCCACCATTGCAGCCCTTGAGAAACGCCAACCAAGGGGGTGACTGTGTGTACTGCTGCCAATCATGTAACTCATCTTTTCCTTATAAGCTGAGAAAGGGACCCCTCCTTTCCCCGTGCTGCTAAAACAAACCAAGGAAGCATCTGCTTTGGGAAACCTGAGTCTTACCCCTGCAGTTTCCACACAGAGCAAGGAGAGGGTGGGCGGCCAGCTGTCTCCCGGCCACCACCCTCCCTCCCTCCCCCTGAAGTACTACAGCTCATGCGGTGCTCAGCAGCTTGCTGGCCTGTGGCCTCTTCAGAGCCCAGCCGAGGGGCCTTTCTGGCTGTCCTAAGGCCCTGTGGTCGCCAGCCCCTGACTCAGTGACATCATAGCCATTTGAGTCCATGGGACCAGCCCTCTGTCCTGGGTGACATCTCTGCTGGGTGGCCACACAGGCTCTGCTTGGAAGTCGGAGCTCAGGCCAAAAGACCTTTCCAGCGTCCACGGGAAAAACCACGCTTCTGCAGCAAAAGACTGGGAAGGCAGGGTGCCCAGGACACAGAGTCCCCAAGAGCCGGCTGAGGGAAAGGCCTCAGGCAAACGTCCTCCTTGAGCACTGACCTTTGGCCCCGGGGGCCCGGGGAGCCCTGGGGGGCCGGGCTCCCCTCTGCCTACTCCAATGGAGTTGCCAGAATCGCCTTTCTCTCCCTGGGGGTGGAAAGTAAGAGTTATTAGTTCTTCCCTCACAGCTCAGGCTGAAGTTGGTAGGGGGTGAGGGTGGGCATCAGGGGTCCGTGGGCTCCAGAGGCCCTTCGAAGCCTGGCCTGGTCTGATCCAGCCGCAGGTTTTGAGGAGAGAATAGAGCTGGCTGTTGAAGGGGAACAGGCTGAAGCAAGAGGCCTGTCAGAACCTGGGCCTGGGCCAGTGTTTCCCAAAGGGTGTTCCATGGGCCCAGTTGGCATGGCTCAGTGGTCACAGTTCGATTCCAGTCAGGTCACATGCCAGGTTGCCGGTTCGATCCCCAGGGGGGAAGGGCAGGCGGCAGCTGATCAATGACTCTCTCATCATTGATGTTTCTACCTTTCTCTCCCTTTCCCTTCCTCTAAAATCAATTAAAAAATATTTTTAAAGGGTGTCCCATGGGACACTTCTTCAGGGGGTTGAAAATATTTGGAATGTGCAAAAAAAGGGAATATGGGGCCAAACAACGTTAGGAAAGGCGGAACGAAATGAAGCTTTGCGAGCTGAGCTCCTGCGTGCAGCGTGCTCAGAGCTCTGATAGGTGACGGTGCCTGCCCCGGTCTGAGGGGCCACCTTACCCAGCTCCCCCACACTTACCTGACCTCTAGTCCTCCTTCAAACGGACTCAACTACCACAGAGCACATTTTCGGAGCAAAGAAGTCTGACCAGGTCACAGCCATTGAATTCTTTGAATGTGGGCATTGCTTGGCCAATCAGGGCCTCCCATGTGGCACCTCCTCCCCCCCCCCCCTGGGAGGGAGTGTGCAGGCGGGAATGTGGGTAGGAGGGGCATTGCACCGTGCAGAGCTCCCCAATACCCACCTTCTGCCCGGGGAGGCCGAGGCCCGCGGCGCCCTTCTCCCCCTGCAGAGAGACGCAGACCATGTGGTTAGAGTCGCTCCTCCAGGATGTGGGGGAGGCCTCACCCCGCCAGCGCCGGGCCCCGGCTTTCCCCTCTCCCCCCTCCCTGCCCCTCCGTGGGCTGTTTTCTGAAGGACTTGACTTCCGGAAGGACCCCCGTCTGGCCCAACTCCTTCCTAAGACCCCTTCGCACTGGTGACAGCCTGCATCAGCGTCCCCCTCTCCGATGTGGGCTGGGCCCTCATCACTCATGCAGAGAGGGGAGCCACGAGCGCTTAGTCCCCTTTGGGGGAGGGATGAGCAGTGTGGAGCCAGGCATTTGGGAAGCTCTTCCTTCCAACCACCGTGCTCTTTTCATGTTCATGCTCATCAGGACCAGCCATTAGAGGCCCCTGGTCTCCAGGGAGAGCCTTCTGCCCGCCTCCTCCTGCCTCTAAGACAAGACCAGCCCGGCCGGCACGGCTCCGTTGGATGAGCATGGACCTATGAACCAGGAGATCACGGTTCAATTCCCAGTTAAGGCACATGCCCCGGCTGCGGGCTCAATCCTCAGTGGGGGATGTACAGGAGGCAGCCAATCAATGATTCTCTGTCATCATTGATGTTTCTCTCTCCCTCTCCCTTCCTCTCTGAAATCAATTTAAAACAAACAAACAAACAAACAAAAAAAAAAAAAACAAAAAAAAAACCCAAGACTATCTAACCAGGACTTCTCTTTGGAAGATATTTTGAGAAGCTTGCCTCCTGTTGTGGTTGAATAGTGCCTCCTCCTCCCCATTCGTATGTTGAAGTCTGAACCCGCAGTATCACAGAATGTGAACTTATTTGGAAACGGGACATTGGAGGTGTAATTACATTGGAGGTGTAATTAGCTATGCTACGAGGCCATGCTGGAGTGGGGTGGGCCCCTAATCCAATATGACTGGTGTCCTCACACCAGTAAGAAGGGGAAACTTGGACAGACATGCACGTGGGGAAACACGTGAGAGTGAAGGCAGAGATGGGGTGACGCTTCTATGAGTCGAGGACCAGCAAAGATGGCAGCAAACCCAGGAACCAGGAGACAGGCCTGGGCAAGATGCTCCCTCACTGCCACAGGAGCCGACCCTTCTGACACCCGCGCCTCAGATCCCTCGTAGCTCCTTCCTGAAGAACTCTCCCCCCGACGTGGACCACAGAACCACCTCGGTGCAGAGGAAGGGGCTCTGCCTGTGAACAGCCCGCCCCAGGTCGGAGGCAGAGCTGGCCTCACAGGCAGGTCTCCTGAGGCTCCACCTTCCACCTGGTGTCTCACATCAGGAGGCCCCCAGGGCACTGCCAGGTCACCTGTGGCTGGCCGTTCACGTGTGCGGTTACATACATCGAGGGCCCTGGGTCAGAATGTGCTTAGACGTCTCAATGACTTGTCTGGCCGGACCCACACAAGAAGCCACGCCAGGTCCCTGGGGCCAACCCCTTGTCACCTGTCCTCAGGGAGGAGCTGGAGGGCAGAGTGGCCTGGAGCTGGCCCAGGAAGGAGAGCAGGCTGGGTACGTGCCCAAGTGACAGGAGGACAGCACGTCTTGGGAGCCCAGCAGGCCCCACTCTGCCTGGGCTGTGCCTTAGCGGGCATGCCCCAAAATAGCTGGGAAGGGGTGCAGTGCCGTCTACGGGGAATCTGGGGGAGTGGGGACAGAGGGAGGATGGGCCTTCCTTCTGCTGGGTTCTCCTGGGGAACCATGGCTTTCATGGAGGGAGGGTTGCTCCTGATGGAATTTCTGAAGCTTTGCAGGCTGTCCCTTCCTGGGGGTACATGCACCCATAGCACACTGCAGGCAGCACCCCAGCCATGGGAGGGAGAGGTGGGCAGGGAGTGGGGGACCAGCAAATACACAATATCCTACCCTCTGCCCCCTCTTTCCCAGCAAACCTGGGGCCCCGGCTCCCCTGCCGCTCCTGGGTCTCCCTTTGGGTTAAGAAGAGAAAGCCGCTCCTAAGCGGATGGAGGTGGGGGTCATGAGGGGTATAATGGACAGTGACCACAGACCAGCATTTCCTTAACGCTAGTCCCATAATGCTCCTCTGGGAAAAAGGGTGCCCTGGTCAATAGTTTGACATCTTCGCAAGGTATTACCTTTTCAAAGCTTTCCAACGCACATTGAGCATGTGAAAGGCTCTGAGAAGGCCTGCACGAAAGAGACTCGTGTAATATTTCTAATTCCCGATTTCTCAAACATATTTGACCTTGACCATGAGAACTTTTTTTCATGTTACATCCCTTAACGAGCTAGATGAGGGAGACAGAATCCCCAGATGCAGGGGTCAGCAGCTCCTGCTGCTGGGGCAGGTGTGTAGGCAAACCGGCCGAGCTATCCAGCCAGAATCCAGGAGCAGGAGGCACTTGCTGTGCCACCCTGACCGGCAGGCCCCTCCCTGGCAGGTTGTCCTCTGCTCAGTCAGGTCCCTAGCCCCAGGCCCGCCTCAGGGGACTAAGAGCGAGAGAAACAGCAGCAGCCCCTCCCACCTTCCCTGGAAGCCTGATGCTCCATGCAGCCCAGAACATTCCCGCTGGGTCAGTACCTTGGCTCCTGGGGTTCCTGGTTCTCCCTGTGTAGGGGGATAAAAAAAAAAAAAAGATTCAGGTAAGGAAGTAAGAGGGCATGAGAGAGTGAGAAAGGGAGCAGGAACCATGAGCAGAGATACTCTGGGTGTCAGCAAAGCACCTGGCCAGCTCAGGCTTTCCTATGCTTAGACCTCAAGCCACAGGCCAAAGCGGTCTCCTGGACCAGCCCCTCCACCGGGGAGGCATGTGGCTGGTGTGGGTGTCAGGGAGGCCCCACAGGAGAGGGAGAGGTGCCCCTGTGAGTGGACCTGCCCAGAGCTATCCCAAGCACTTGTGCTGCTGGGTGTTTCCACTGTCAGCCACACGGCAGTTAGCGTGGGGTTCAGGAGGAGGAATCCAGCCCCTCTCCCTGAAGCTCTGCAGGCAAGTAGCTGTGAAATGCGAGTGAAGGAAAGCTCTAGCTTCCCTGCATGGCAGGAGTGAGACCTATAGCCGAGAATGGTAGCCCTTGGCTACTTCCTTGCAAGACTTATGTAGACAATGGCTGTTCAAGTCATGTGTGCATGCACCTGACATGAGCTGTTTAAGCTACGTGTGCATGGATCTGGCAACAATGCTGCTTCAAGAGAAGTGTTTCCCAACCCTGCCTGCCCCCTCCTTGGTTCAGGGCCTCTGAAGCCCCAGCTCCGTTCTCCTCTCCCCCTCTCTTCCCCTCTCTCCTCCATTGCCCCTCAGTGTTGAATTACAGCTTTTCACTGACCTTTGTCCCAGCCACAGCGATGCCAGGAGCCCCCTGGCAGAGAGAAGAAAAGGCATGGAGGATTTCTGTGGTCAGGGGGAGCACAGGAAGTGGCCAGCCCCCCCCCCCCCCCGCCTCCCTTTGGGGAGATTCGAAGGTGGACTGCTTACGCCTATGTACCGCCCAAACCCACGGGAAAGGAGGGTGCTGACCTTGGCACGGGGGTTGGGGGGGGGGTGGAGGAGCCCAAGGAAGAGGCTCTGTGCAGCACAGCTGGGTGCCCAGGGTCCCCCCAACCTGCTCAGCACCTCAGCTGTGCTGGGGACACAGTGGGCATCATGCAGGATGCCCACAGGTGAGCTAGATGGGGCATCCCTGGGGTGAGGTGAGGGAGGGATTCATTGGGACAGGAGAACAGGAGGAGGCGATGGGGGAGGGGAAGCAGGGAGAGCCTCGGGGAAGGGGAGATGAGCAGATGGAGGTGTCACCCTGTACAGTGCCCCCAGTGTGTGTTAGCAGGCTTCGCCTCACAAGAGCTCTCTGGACCTACCCTCTCATGGACTGGGGAGCAGCTGGCAGCGAACCCCGTTTCTATATCAGCCCAAGACCACTGCCTTTTGATGTGAACAGGCTTCCACGCACACTGCTTAGTAAACCCCACGTGGAGGTGATGTCACGGGGTGTCTGCTCACGGGGTCACATGGTCTCAGGGCTGCAGTCAGAGCTGGGGTTACCCAAGATGATCATGACCCGAAGTTGCCCAGAAGGAGGCCTGGCCACATCAGAGAGGGCACCGGTGAATGATGGGGCCAAACAGAAGCAGCCCTGCTGGGAAGGACCGGCTGCGCAGCCAGGGGCGAGGCCTGGGAGGACATGCACACCCAGCCTTCACCGTGGGGTGCGGGAAGGAGGAGCGTGGGAGAGAGGCCGGGGTCGGGGAGGGCTGCCTAGGTGAGCTGAGGGGCAGGTACCTTCATTCCGTGTTTGCCCGGCATCCCTGGCATGCCCCGTTCTCCCTGAAGGAAGAAACAGAATTGATGAGAAGAGGACCAGACTCAGGGCCCCGAGGCCTCGGCCCTGGAGGCGCGGCCTGCTGGGCTGTCACCGAGAACGGTGGGTCCGGGAGCTCGGACAGTTGAGCTCTGGCAGTCACCGGGCCACTCGGCGGTGTGAACTCACACAGGGGTCCAGGGCATGGCTCCCAGAGAGGGAAAGGCCCCCAGAGAGAGCGGCCACCACAGGAGCTAAGTCCTGCGGGGACAGGAGGGCAGGGAGCTGTTCAAGATCGACTGCCAGTGGGTCTGGAGCTCAGCGCTGCAGGTGGGAGCGGCCCTGGGCCACATATCTACTGCCCATTCTCCCTCCTATCCCGAGTAGCACCTCTTGCCCGTTTATATTCCAGCAGCCCTGCTCCCGCGGGACCTGTGGGCATGTCATCGCCCTCTGGGGCTCCTTTCTCTCCAGTTCCTTGGGTCTAACTCCTCCTTAGGGCCTATGGGCCTTGGCCCCTGTGGCAGAGGGTCTGCCTGTAGCTGGATGGTGGGGGCTGGAGATGAATCAGGTGCCACCTGGCACCTCCCAGAGGCACCAGGACAGCTGTCGCTGCTCCAGGATGCGTGGGTGTGCTCTACCATCTAGCATTGTCTTCAGCCTCTCGTGCCTCCACATGAAATGCCACGCCGATGGGAGGGGCTGCGCTCAGGGCACACCAGGAGGAGAGAGGGTTGGAGATGCCAGCCAGTGGTGAATGGGGGCTGCTGTTAGGGGGACCAGGGGAGGAAGAGAGCAGCTCGTCTCCATGAGTTGAACGCCAAAGGAAGCCCCAAGCAGGGCCCAGAATAGAGTGCAGCTACAGGTGTCAGCGGCCGACCTGCTGCAGCTCCCTGCGTGTGAAGGCCCGCGCTGTGGGTGGCCATGCCAAGCCCGCTCCTGGCCCAGCTTCCTCTCTCAGGCCAGCGGGCATGGCTGCAGGCCAAGCTTCAGGCAGAGGGGCAACCTGGTCCCACCTCAGCTGTCCTCACCCCTCTCTGCCATCTGACAGGTTTCACCCTGTGCCCACCGAGGACAGAGCTGCTTCTAACGCTGCTCCAGGACTGAGCACTCCCTGTATGTAGCCGGACAATAACACTCCTTTCTCAAAACAGCCACTGCCTGGCATTTAACATGGGAAAGGGGTCGGGGTCCTGAGCGTGGCGTTCCATCCTCGCTTCCTTCCCAGCCTCATCTCCTCATAGCCTGACACCTCTTCCCTGCGTCCCTGAAAACACCACCCACTCTCCTGACTTTCTCTTGTTTCCTCCACACCCTACTCATTGATGGTCACACCCCATCTGCTCTGGCTACACAGCCTTTTGCTATGCCCCGTGCTGGCTCTGCAGGGCAGCAAGGACCCCGTGCATTTGTAATCTGTGCACAAAACCACGTCGGCCTGGGATGGTTCACCTCCATTCTCTTGGGGACAAGTCTCTGAATTCTGAAAAAGGCTCAGAATCTTCAGCTCCACACCCAGGAGCTCTTTCTCATTCTCACTTACCAGGACCCTGTGCCACAGGCAGTGGTGACCACAGAGGACAAGCCAGTGGCCCAGGTCTGCCCTGGCCACCAGATTCCGGGGAACCCCTCTGACGGGAAAGAGCAGAGAAAGGCACGGCCATTTGCTGCATTTGCCATGCCTCCGGCACGGGGCTAAGGGCTCTGCATCTTTCTGCTCACTGTCCAGGGATCTACTCCTGCGTGGGAGTGGATGTTACTCCTGCTTCACAGGTGAACGAACTGTAGCTCAGAGAGGCCGGGTACAGAGGTCAAGGTCATGCAGAGCAGGGATGTGAACATAGGTCTTTTGTCTGCCAAAGCCCAGGTACCCATTTCTCCAGGCCAACCCCTGCGTCCATTGGCTGGGCTGGTGTTCCACCTGCTTCTGTTAAACACCCTCTGCGGGCTGGAAGCCAGCAATGCCCTCTCTGCTGGAGGGCCCTGGGCCTGAGCCCCACAGGCATGAAGGAGTCCGCCAGGCCTGTGAGGGCAGCTCAGCCCAGAGCCCTGGGGTGGGCCTTTAACCATAGACACAGAGAAAAAAGCAGGGCAGGGCCCTGCCTGCCAGTGCGGCTCTGCTCTGTAGCCAGCAGAGGGCACCCCAGGACCTCGTCAGGAGGCTGGCAACAGGCCTCCATCCCCTTCTCAGGAGAACCAGCTGAGGCCCCGCTAACATGCCAACCAGCCCAAAGGGGTTGACTCAGCGCCAAGGACATCAGATGGAGTCCCTGGGGTGGGGGTGGGGGTAGAGGTACAAGTAGGAGGTCGGCTTGGGGGTCCCTGCGTATCCAGGGATTTCCCTTTTGTCCTGCCCTGCCCTGCCCCTGTCTTCCCCTCAATGCCCCAGCCCGCCCTGCCCACCTCCATGCTGAGGAGCTGATGGCGTCAGGAAAGGCTGGCTGTGTGACCAGATAAACCCCGTTCCCTCTGCAGGTCCAGGATGCCCACCTGCAACGTGAGATTAGACTAGATGGCTCCCAGCCGCTCCTGCTCCCCCATCTTTCTCCAGCGCCCCCAGCCCTGCCTGTGCGAGACCCTGAGGAGGGGCAGAGGCCAGGGCCAGGAGGGGGACGCGGGGTCTGTTGGCAGATCCAGGACAAGGCTCTCTGATGGAGAAGGTCAGCTCTGGGTAAAACCGCGCCCTAGGAGTAAGGTGACCAGACATCCCGCTTTTGGCGGGACAGCCCCAATTTTTAACGATTTGTCCCACGTTCTGATTCGGGACTTTTTTTCCTTTTAAAAAAAATATATTTTATTGATATTTTACAGAGAGGAAGGGAGAGGAGAGAGAGAGCTAGAAACGTTGATGAGAGAGAAACATCGACCAGCTGCCTCTTGCACAACTTCTATTGGGGATGGGCCCACAACCAATGTATATGCCCTTGAATGGAATCGAGCCTGGGACCTTTCAGTCCGCAGACCGACGCTCTACCACTGAGCCAAACCGGATTCGGCCCGATTCGGGACTTTTTAAAATGCCGAGGGACGCCCCCAAGAGACAGACGGCTTCCTGTGCTCCGCAGGGAAGAGGGCAGGCTCCGGGCTCCTGTCTGCAGCCTCCACGGGAGCCTGGCAGAGCAGGAGCTGGGAGTGAGGGCTTCTGGCTAATTGGGCTTGTCTTCAGCCCCTGTGGGTTTGTCTGCAAAGACACAGCCATGCCCTCCAGGGAAATCCGGCCCCTTGGAGCCTCCTGAGGAGGCAGCCCTCCTCATTAGCGTGGCTGACCTTTGCCCCTTCCCTCCCGCCTGGGTTAAGTCTCTTAATTCTGCAAAGGACTCGGGCTCCCTTGATCCCCGTCTCAGGGCCTCCCTCCTTCCCAGCCCTTTGCTGGGCAGGAAGCGGGGGTGCCCTCCGCTGACCCAGCCTGTGGGCTCAGTCCACTCTCATCAGCCTCCTTTCTCCAGCGCCTGTCTCCACGGGCGTGCCCCAGCCTGACCTCTGACCCCGGGACTGTGCTGTCCTAACAGAGAGCGCTGGCTCCTGGGCGGTGGCCGAGGTGAAAGCGGGGTGAGAGTCACTGTCAAGGACTTGGGGTGGCTGCGGCAAGCATACTTGTCTGTAGGGAGGAGGCCGGGGCGGTGGGGCTGCAGCCAGTGCTCCGAGGAGGCCGATGCCCGGGCACACAGCTTTCCCTGGCAGCAGCCTCAGGGCGGGCACACCTAGAGGGCCCTTTCCTGGCTTTCTTCTTTTTCTTCTATTTTTTAAAAATTTATTTTCTAAAGTTTTACATATGTCTCCTTTTTCCCTTCCCCCAAGCTTTCTTCTTAAAAGTGTTCCTCTTAAGGGTTAAGTGTGGAATTGTGCTGAGTTTAGACTCATTAACTCAGCGGCTTATCTTAGGTGGGAGGGAGCTGTCATAGTCTGTCAAAGCCCCCGGCTCCAATTTACCCTCATCTCTGCCTTCCCAGGTCCTCCTAACGGGGAGTCTCTGGGTCATGGGTGCCTGGGCATGACAAAGGCCCTTGCCCCAGGGGCACAGAGCATGGATGGCACAGGCTGCTGTGGGACCAGGCTTCTGACCCACAGGCAGCGCCGACCCAGCACCTGGTTCTCTAACTGTGGTGCGGAGAACCGATGCCTGATTGCCGGCCTGGAAGGGGTGGGTTCCATTCATTGGGGCTAAGAAAGCACAGGTGGGTGGGTGGCTGGTGGTGGGGGACCCTGTCCCAGCCAGGACTTCGCAGTGTCACTGGCCCTCAGCTGGGCCCTGCCTGTGCTCCCGCTGCAGCATCAGTAGGTGCTCCATGCTGGTCCTTGCCCCTAAGTGTGAGAACCATCCTTTACCCCGATGACAGGATGGAAGCGAGCTCCTGGGAGCACACGCTGGCCATGCTCCCATCCAGGGGGAGTGGCCTCTTAATTGGTGATTTACTGTTTGTGGAACAAGCAGGGCAGGGACTTGGCAAGAAAACGTAGTCTGGAAGGAGGTGGGGGGCTTCGAGGTCAGCTTCCCAGCCAAGCAGAGGTCAGGCCAGAGAAGCTGGGGAGATGGATGGACCGACCTCCCTAACGTGCGGCTCCTGCTGCAGCCCCGCGCTGGGTGGGGGGCCCGGGGCCGAGGCAGCTCCACACACAGACTCTTTGTTCTCTGCAGGGAGGAGGGAGACCTGTCTGAGTGGGGAGTGCAGGGCTGGGGGCAGGCCAGCAGGCAGCTCTGGCCTCAGGCCTGGCCCGGGGCCCTTTCCTGGGCTGGGAAATCCGGGCGAGGAGGGCCAATGTCTCTCTCTCACCTAACGCGTTCCCAGGACTCCCTTCCGGGAAGAGGGCAGGTCTGCGCCCTGTTCCTGCTCTAGCAGCCCCGGGGCGGAGAGCCTGGGACCACGGAAATGCCAGGCCTCCGGTAATTGGCGCTGGCAGGAAGCGATCTGGGGAATTACCGGGTCAGGCGCCCCATGGAAGGCCAGGGCTTTGGAAGGGCGGCTGGCTCGTAATCTCGATTTGAGATCGGGTGATTTTGTAGTTAGTTCCAAAAAGAAAAGTCAGC